GTGTGTGTGTGTGTGTAGAGAAAGTTTATCTTGAATGAAATTCGGGCAACATAATGCCATCAATGATGATGATGATGATGATTATGATTTAGTCAATTTTTTATCTAACTAGAAGCTTGAAATTTGTCAACTTGAGTGTGTGTGTGTTTAAAGAGATTTTCTTCGTTGTTTGTATTTCGTTTTTTTTTGTTTTGTTTTGTTTTGTCTGTGTGAATCACAAACACACTCATCGCAAACAATCGGTCAATGTGTTTGTAAGTGCCATTCACATTAAATGTGATTATGATTATGATGATGAATGAATGAATGAATGAATGGTCAACACATAGTTGAAAAAAAGCCGGCTATATCTACATAATCAACAATTGTATTTGTGAATGTTAATGATTATTTTTTTTTGTATCCAATCGATCAATTATACGAATCAATAAAATTCAAGTTTTGTTTTGTTTTGTTTTTCTGGTCACTCCTAACACCAAGCGGAAAATTTTTTCAAAAAAAAAATTTCCGAAAATATTCTCGAAAAAAATATTTCCGAAAAATTTACCAGAAAAAAAAATTCAAATGAAATTGAAGCGGTGACAAATTTTTTTTTCTTGATAAATTTCATCTGAAACAGATGAAAAAGAGAAAGTAATGATAATTTTAATAATCAACAATCCAGAAGAACACACACACACACACAGACAAAGCGAGAGAGAGAGAGAATGCAATTTGTATTTACAGTAAAAAAACAACAACAACAACAACAACAATCTACAAACTACAGAGAAAACAATTGTGTTGTGATGATGATGATGATGATGATGATGATAATATAAACGCGACATTTGTCTTGTCATATTCTCAGAGATATCTCATTATATCAATTTTTTTCACAATTCATCTAAAAAAGCCAAAAGAGAGAGAGAGAGAGATGGAGAGAATTGGCCAGAGAGAAAAAATTAAATTATTTCATCTTTCTATGAATGAAAAAGATGAATATCATCATCATCATCATCACCATTATTGTTTATGGATGGATTTCTTTTTCTTTTAATTTGGAGTATAAAAACAAATGTGTTTTTTTTTCATTTTCATTTTCATTTGACCATTGTCGTTGTCGTTGTCGTTGTTGTTGATTTAAAAGTGTTATAATATCGTGGATTTCCTTGTCGTTTTTTGTACAAACTGGAATAAAAAAAATGAAATTTATCATTCAAATTTAAATTGATGATTTATGATCATTTGAGTTGATCATCATTATCATCATCATCATCATAATTCTTAAACCCTTTGTTTGTTTGTTTTGTTTTGTTTTTTTTTCTTTGTGAGTGCATTTTTCTCATGATAATCGGCTTTATCAATTTTTTTTTATTTGGAAATTCATCAATCAATTGATTCGATTACGAATTTGATTGTTTCATCAATAATTTTGTGTGTGTGTGTGTGTGCGTGGATTGTGTTTGAAACGACCGACCGCATAATTAATTCGCTAAACGACCGATCAATCAATAAAATGAGCATAATGAACATCATTATAGCGATGATGATGGTGCTGTGGATCTATTAATGACGACGAGAGAAGAAAAAAAATTTTTTTTGTTTCAACTTTGAATGAATTATTTGTTTCACAATCGGTAGTCAACAGCAAAAAGGGTGATATTTTTTCATAGTTAATCAAAATCAGAATATATAAATATAGGCGACTAAATCAGAGAAAAAAAAAGAATCAAGAAAAAGGACAAAAACACCGAAAAAACACACACAAACACAATGGCCATACAACAACGTCATTGTCAGTCAATATTCATCTGTTTGATTTTTTCATTCATTACAAGTCATTTGTTGATTGCACATGATTGTAATGGTAATGAACATCGTTATTCACGATTATGGGTAGGTTTGAATATTGAGATTTTTTTTTTTTTTTTTTTTTTTTTGATGATTTTTGATGATCCATTAAATGAATCAATTAATCAATTTGTCAATAGTGGTATGAAGTTAAAAATAATGGAACCAATTCGACTACTAGCGTCAATTATAATCATACAGTGCCATCACCATTATCATCATCATTATTATTATTGAATTCATCAAAATTATCAATCATGAATTATGGCAAACAACAGCGGCAGCCACAGCATTTTGGTCTAACCGATAATGAACTTATGACGCAGGCGTCAAAATTAAGTTCAAAAATGACCAGAATTATGGTACCAACAGCTACAACAACCATTAACACCGCTAACAACAACAACGTTATCAATTCAAATGGCCATATTAATAATAATGATCATCATCATCATTATCATGATGTTATTCATTTACAACAGCAGCAGCAATTATTGAATCAAAATCTGAATACAATAAGTACACGATTTGATGATGATGTAAATGAAAATGGATCACAATTATTTCAGCAACAACCACAGCAACAAATTTTTCAATTTAAAAAAGAAACTGAACCTGAAAATGTATTAATCAACGCCACCACTATCAATAATAATGTTAATAATGGCCAGGAAAAACCGGCTGCATCAAATAGTCGTCCATTTTTTCAATCACCATCATCATCATTTGGTACACATCAATCATTGTTTAATGGATTCATCCAACAACAACAACAACAACAACAACAACAGCAACGACAACGATTTTTACCACAATTCCAGCAGCACCAGCAGCAGCAGCAGCAACACCTGTTAAATCCAACACAACCACAGCATAGTTATTCGGATCGTATATGGAATTTTTTCGATACAAACATTAATCGTGGAATGAATAATCGTAAGTTTTTTTCTCTCTTTTATTTGATCCATTTTATTTCAGTTATTTTTTTTCATGGTGAAAAAAAATACTACAAAAAATAGAACGACCAAAAAGTTGGAGAACTTTCGATCAACAACAACAACAACAACAAAATCAAGAACTGAATGATAGTGGTTCAATCAATAGTATTGTCGATTCTTATATTGAAAAATTAATGAAACGTAATCAATTACGTTCCAATTCATCATCATCCGCATCGACTACAAACATGAAAAATTCAAAATCAGTAAGTTGATTTAATTAAATTTGAAAATTTTGATAAATTTCCATTTTTTTTTGTCTCAAGCAAAAAGACGACAATAACAGCAGCAATACATTGAGTTTGAATATGAATCGGAAAAAAAATCCAGAAGAAAAAGAAAAATTCCGCAAACTAATACAGACTATATTTGATAATACACCGAGAAAAAGTTTTAATTATGGTTCCGCTAGTGGTTTCGATGATGATGATGACGACGACAACGATAACGATGAACAACAAATGATACATCAGCAAAAAAATGATTCAACTAGTGACGAAGATTCGTTCATGACAAATGATGGTGATCAAAATGAAACAAATGGCAATAAAGTTGATGAAAATGTTACTGATAATCATCACGATGGTGATGAGGATATTGTTGATAAAATCGTGGACAATAATGATGATGTAGAAGTGGATACGGATTCTGATTCCGATTCTGATGATTTAACTAATGATGACGATGATGATGATGATGAGGACGAACCACGAGAAGCTGCCGGAAGATTGATTAAAAAAGAGCCGAAAATTGAACAATCATCCATTTTGAATCCAGATGATGATGATGAAGTGGATAATCAATATTTACGAAATAATAATACAACTAACCGAGAACAATTTGGTGCACGTAAAACAATTCAAAGGAAAACAACCACTGCTGGCAATTCATCAATTGTTCGACAACAAAAACGTCATAATCATCATCATCATCATAATTTAACAGCACCAGCAAAGAAAAAATTTTTATTCAATAATCGGAATTCATTTCAAACTACTACACCACCATCATCTAGTTCAATTATGATGACGACGACAACAGAAAATCCGTTGATTATTGTTGACAGTGATACGACAGTGATACCAACGAAAATAGATGATGGTGATGGTGTCGATATTAGTGGCGAAATGGATGAATCATTAAATTTAAGTGATGAAAATTTTGTTGGTCTCGAGGAATTGAATCTAAATAGTTTGGATAATCAGACAATAACAACAACAACAACAACAAATCAAACACCAACAATTGATGAAGATGATGATGATGAAAATCTTAAAAATCAATTAATCAGAAAACGTAAACCACAACATGTTGGTAAATGGATGGATGCTGAAACATTTGAATTAAGAAATGATGATGATAATGACGATGATGATGATGACGATGAAAATGAAGATGACGCTGATGATCACCATAAACTGTCTGTATCTACAAAATCACCACCTGTTGTTGATATTGATTTTAAACCAGTGGTTAGAAAACCAGTAATGTTGGGAAAAGATCATTTTCTTATTAGTACAAACAATAAACATCGATTATCGAATAATTTACCGCGTTTTATAAGACAAAATAAACCGACAACTATAACAAATGATGAATCAATGATACAATTGGAACATACATTACCCGGTATGCCTGGTGAAGATTATCCTGTATTCAGTTCAATACCACGTACACGTTTCAATTGTCTTGATCATAAATGGCCTGGTTATTATGCTGATATCGATACACATTGTCAGGTAATTGATTGATTATCGGTAAATTGATTTATTATTATTTTTTTTTTACCAAACAAGGTATTCCATATATGTCAATCTGGTGGACGTAAAAATTCATTTCTTTGTCCAAATGGTACAATGTTTAATCAACGATTATTCATTTGTGATTGGTGGCATAATGTACAATGTGATGAACAAGCCGAACATTATGAATTGAATGCACAGATTTATAATGATGATCAACATAATTGGGATTCAATACGTTTGAAAACGGTTACGGGCAAAGTGATTGAATCAAAACCAAAATCACAGCCATTAAGAGTTAGTATTAGACGTATGGCTTTATTGGACAATATTGACAATAGTACTGATGATCAATCAACGACAACAACTGCATTGGATTTGATTGATAATCAAACAACAACAACAACAACAACAGAATTACCGACAACAACGACAATGAAATCAACATTTAAAACAACAGAATCACCTTTGTTCATTACAGAATCATCATTACCATTTGGTGCAAGACATACAAAATTTCGTCATCAAACCAGTAAATTAAAAAATTTGGATAGAAAATCTTTATCTTTATTACAGGAACGTGAACAAACAATAACAACAACAACAACAGCTTCACCAATAACAGCGGTAACAACAACATCGACAGCTGCAACGACGATAATGGCAACAATAAGACAGCCAATACAACAACAACGGAAATATAGTGGTGTCAAAGGCGGAGGAAATGGTCGTGGAAATGTTAATGGTGAATTGTCAAAATTTAGTCGTGTTATACAGGAACATAAAGCTAAATCATCATTGTCGATTGCCAATCAATGGAATAATCATCATTTTCATCAACAAAAACCACAACTACAACAACAACAACAAAAACAGAAACTGAAACAAAAACAAAAACAACAAATTCATTCACCAGCAAAAATATCCGATAATAATAATGTGGCAACAAAATTTACACGACATAAATTTGCCCATCAAAGTCAATTGACTAGGACAACACAGCTTCCACAATTATTATCAACATCATCGATATTGACCAATGGCCATCATCATCATCATCATCATCGAAATCATCATCACCGAAATCATCATCACCAAAATCATTACGTTTTCAATCATCACCAACAATGATGATAATGTCGTCTTTGATAACACCGGCACCAATGCGAATATCAACACGTCCGGGTAAATATTATCGTACTTGAAACACACAAATACATCATCATCATCAGCGTCAGCATCTAAATTTTGGAATAAATTTTTTTTTTGGTTTTAATTCAAAACACAGCCACCAGACACACAATTTTAGAAAATTGTTCACTCATCAATCATTATTTTATCGTTCATCATGTTATTTTTTTTTAATTCCAAAATCTTTTTACACATTTTTACTCTTTTTCCATTGTCCAAAACAAAAAAAAATTGATTGATAATCGATCATCATTCATTCATTCATCAATATCATTGATTGATTTTGGTTTGATCAAGAAAAAAAACACACAAAATTTTTTTTTTTTTTGTTGAGTATAGAAAACATGAATTGAAAATTTTAATTTTTTTTTCATTAATTTTTGAATAATTTATATTTTTTTTAACAAGAAAAAAAACGAAACATTTCATTTATTATCAGATAATAATATTTTGTTCAATTTATGGGATTCTCAATGTTGTTGTTGTTGTTGTTGTTTGGATCGATTCATCATCACTGGATAAATGTATCGTCGATGGAAATGTTGTTGTGGTGGTTGTTTGTTGTTGTTGTTGTTGTTGTTTCGATGGCCGTTGTTCCAATAATGTGATTAAACAGCATGCAATTCTTATACCAGAATTGCCAGTAATTTTACTAGCTGCATTTGTATTTCTACCATAATCATCACGACCATTGTGAATCTAAATGATAGCGAAAAAAAACATTGGTTTAACTCGCTAAAAATGAAATGAAAGAAAAATGAACACTTACAACAATTGTACGATTAATAATACAATGTTCATCATTTGGATTAAGGCTTAGATTTGTGAATTGTAAATTGTCCATACTAACCACGCCTTGTTGATCGGCATAAATATTACCCAAATCGCCTAGATGACGTATTGAATCAGTCGGTCCACCATGTGTCATATTCAATGGATTATAATGATTACCGACTGATTGACAATCATATGATAGATCAGATCCTTCATGGATATGCATACCAAATGCAAAAGTTTTGTTTTTCGTACCAACAACTTCGTTTAATGTTGTTGTCGTTGTCGTTGTTGTTGTTGTTGTTACCGCATTACAATCACTATTATTCAGTTTCAGACTAGCAACATTAGTTTCAGTAGTAGTTGAATCGCAACCAACTTTAAAACCTTGTAATCGTATCTGCATGTTAATAATTGCAGGATTTGTAGCTATTTGTTGTGTGAGATAAATTTCACCATGAATATCCTGTTGATTCAATAATGCTAAATGACGATTTGGACGCATATGACAGGTAGCCGCCATTATACCGGTTGATTCAAAATTATCATCATTTTGTGATTGGATTGATTGATGATGATGGTGATGATCGCTTTCATGTTGTTGTAGCCGATTGATTAGAATCGATTGATCATCATCACGGTAATTATGATGATGATGATGATGATGTTGATGCTGCCATTGTTGTATTTCCTTGACAATTGTTTCGATTCTAATTAATCGATCATTTAATGATGATAAATCCGTCAATAATTTGTTTAAACTTTTATCCAATCCTGTTGCATTATTAGATGATTCTATATATTGGATTCATGAATTTTTGACAATGAAATTGATTTTATTTAAAAGAAAATATTTCGAAAGACACACATTGATTACCATTGTTTTGTTGATCATCCGATATAGCGAACGTTGAATTGGTCATTATGGTTGTTGTGATCATAATCATGACCACAATGGTTGTGGACATCATCATATGATTAATTGTTGTTGTTGTTGTTGTCATATTTTATGAATGAAAATTTTACGATTTCAATTAATTCATCAATATTTGAACGGATTTGGAATCATCGACATCGATCGTCATGATGATAATAATAATAATAATAATTGAAAGTTTATTGATTGATTGAATGTTTACACAATTCAATTTCATAGCGTGAACTATATTTTAAAAAATGTCAATTTGGCAATGGCCATGAGTAAGCCCACTTTTTTTTGCTTGTTTTGACCGATTTCCCACCCATCTTTTTATTGATTGATTGATTGATTAATTGATCGGCCCATTTTTTTATTGATTGGTTGAAATAACTGCAGTTACAATGTGTGTGTGTGTGTGTGTGTTATAGTCGAACGTACCCCAAATTTTTTTTTTTATTTGGGGAAAAACCATTTATTCCAATGAATTGTCTCGTTCACAAATCAATTTACCATAATTCTGTTTTTTTTCTGATTGTTGCATATGATATTTTGATGGTCATCAACAATGATGATGGTGGTTATTTTAATTTGATTATTATCAATGTCAATTTACAATGGAAAATTATTACAAATTATTATTATTTAGTGCAACTACATCTACTCTGTCGGTCTGTGATGATGATGATTAATTGTGAATATCAAATTTCACTTTAATTTGAATGGTAAATCAATTAAATAATCAATTGGAGACGATTAAATTGATTTGATTATCAATCAAATCACTTCGATTTTTTTTTTTTTTTTTTTTTTGATTTCATTCAATAATCCTTAAAGAGTGTAATAAATTATTGAGGCGGAAAAACCAATCATTACATGAGGTTATGGCTCCCGGTATCTGTTGTGTGAGTGAGTGCGTTTGTGCTTGTTTTCAGTGCAGGGAATTTTCCACATTTTCGATTTGAAGAACCCGCTAAAAAAAAAATTAAAATTGTCATGACAAATCTTGTGCAATGATGATGATAATCAGGCTGACTGCGAATCAGGAGGTTGCAGGTTCTTTCTCTCTCTCTCTCTCTCTCTCTCTCTCTCTCTAGCATCACTAGATGATACATTGTGATAAATATATCTTTTTAATACCAACAAATAAAATAATACCAAACCTTGGTAAAAAGATAGTTTTCTATTACAAGTAGTAAATTACAACGACAAAAACATATATGAATTATAAAATATAAAATTAACAATGATTTTCATTACAAGTCTGGTTGTTAACAAATTGTGTTGTGTATGTAATATGTGTGTGTATTATGTATTTACATGTTGATGATGCTAACATAGATGATAATTTACTTGTACCATCATAATTGTATTGGCGAAAATTGGAATCAAATGTTTGGAATTTATACACTGGATTCTTTTGACAAAATGGGCCAGTTGTCTAATTGGATATTATCGTTTCTTTCATTCGAATTGAAAGAAATTTGTATTATTCATCTCGACAAAAACGATAGTTAATCCAATGAAAGACCAAAATATTTGTGGTACACAATAATTTACACGGAATTTTTTGGATTTGGAACTGCATTTTTATCAGACAAATCGAAACGTTGCGTCTCGTAAGCGAATGAGTGTGCGAATGTTAATGTGCTCGACAACGACGGTTGAAGACGGTTGAAAAATGTGCTAACACAAAATGAAGAAAAAATTTGTACAGCGTGAGTAGCGCCAATTGTGAAGGAGAAGCATGTGCAAAAGTAAAGAAATAAAGAAATTCTACTTTCACTTTACATTCTTCACCCTCATATGAAGAGACTATTTTAATGAACCGATTTGTCTGGGTTGAAATAGAATGTGTGTGTGTGTGTGTGTGTGTGAGACTGTGGGCATTTTAATACCTTTTTCCCTTTCTATTTCCAATACTTCTCCTTCTTTTCTTTTGTCAATTTTTCAATCACCATGGAAGCATAGAAATGTGTGTTAAAATGTTTTTTTTTTATACAATTAAACGACTAGCAAGGTATGAACACAGAGCAAAAAAAAGTCATCGTTCTCAAATGGATTTGGATTGAAATTAAAGTGATCTGCTTTTGTTCATAATGAATACATCTGGTAAACTATTCATCAATAATCGACGATTATGGTCATGGATGCGTGCCAGTGTTTTATCGATTGGTGCATTCAGTATTGGTGTATACTATGAAAGAAAATGTCATCTTTATGCTGATGTTGTTGCACCTGGACCAACAACAACAACAACAACGTTAAACATTGGTACACATGGTGATGATGTTATCGATTCACCGAAACCATCGTTACATGGTTCTGGTTCAAGTAACAATCATATGGCACAGATTAGCCGTTTTGGTTTTCCATCAATGGATTCATTACGTTCATATAGAAATTTTTTATTAAGTTATGATCGTAGAAATCGTATTGCTAATTGGGTATTAGAATATGTTACAAATGATGATCTAAATGCTGATGATTATAACCGTAAAGGTATTGAATTTCGTGAAGATCAATCATTTCATCGTTATTTTCGTTCAACAAATCAAGATTATAAAGGATCTGGTTATGATCGTGGCCATTTAGCTGCGGCTGGTAATTATCGTAATAATCCTGAACACATTAAAGAAACCTATGTATTATCCAATATTGCACCGCAAATTGGTCGTGGTTTTAATCGTGATAAATGGAATGATCTAGAAAAATATTGTCGTCGTAAAATACGTGAATTAAAATCATCATCAGGTTTATGGATCTGTACTGGTCCATTATATTTGCCACAAAAAGATGCCGTATCTGGTAAAAAATTCATCCATTATGAAGTGATTGGTCATAATCATGTTTCAGTACCGACACATTTTTTCAAAGTTCTACTATATCCTGGCCATAATGGTCAATGGTTTATGGAATGTTTTCTAATGCCTAATCAGATAATCAATGATAAAACATCCATACATTCATATCGTGTTGATCCAGAAATAATTGAACGATCAGCTGGTATTTTATTATTCAATCAAATTCCTCGCCATCAATTACTTATTAATCCATAGATCTCATCATATCATCAATTTTAGGATTTTATATTTTCATATAATTGCATGGTAATATCATCATCATAATAATAAAATTCCGACAATTTTTTTTTTTGCACCATAACTTGATATAATTGTGAATTGTATGAATCAATCATATGAAATATTTATAAACAACTTGTAACGTATGAAAACACATCTCACATGACATGCATAGAGACATGCGTCGTATTTTTGTCATGAAATTTTACCATTCTCTTTTTTTTTTGTTATTGTTGTTGTTGTCAATGACAAGTAAAAAAAAAAAAAAAATAACAGAAGGCAAACTAAAAACAAAAAAAAAAAATAATGATGAAAATAGAAACAAAGACAAATACAAAGACGAATGCAAAAGGCAATTTGTGATTCCTAAATGATAATTCTAATGATGATGATGATGATGATGATGAAAATCATTCGGTATGAGGTTTTTGCTGCGCATTTTTTGTTTGTTTGTTGGAAAATTTAATTTAATTTTTTTTTCAGATAAAACAAAATATGTGGTCAAAGGTTCATTGGTTCAATTTCAAACCCTACTTTTTTTATCTTTGTGAACATTTTTTTTATGTTTACATTTGTGTTGTGTTGTGTAAACGATTTTGATTTGTATAAACATTTAATATGAATTAATCATCATTTATATTTATAATAGGAAGTGAACGAAATTCACCGTGTGTTCAATATCTATATATTTTTTTCGCTATTTTAATTCATCGATTGATTGTGAACTAGTTTGTTTGTTTTGTTTTCTTTGTCATTGATCTCTTCATTAGCAAGTCAAAAAAAAATATGGCCGAAAATATTCATGCATTCGTTTCAAATGGTCAACAAAAGAATTGCCAACACCATTCATTTAATAATCAAATTAATGATTCAATAAATGTTACTCATCAACAACAACAACAATCAATCGATAAAGATGTTAATCGATTAACTTATAATGGCGATAATGACGACGATGATGATGATGATATCGATATTATTGGCCGTAGTACAACAACAACAACAACAATGGCCAATTTAAATCTATCACCTTCACTACCGCAGCCATCATCATCATCACTATTGTCAACACACCAGCAACAACAACAACAACAATTACAAAATTCAATACGTTTACGAAATTCATCATCAGAATCATCATCGACGGCAACGCCAAATATAACCGCAGCAATATATAGTTATCATCGTCATCCAATGGCTACAATTAATCCAATAACAACAACGACACCAGTTTCACCGAATCATCAACAACAAAATCATTCATTGAATCAAATTTTTTTCAATTCACACATTACATCAACATCATCTGATCATCATCGAATTATTCATCAAAATTATTCATCTCAACAACAACAACAACAACAACCGTGTGGAAATACGAAAAATCTCAATTCAACAACAACAGCGGCGACGACGACGACGACGACCAATGAATGGTCAATCGATAGCAATACCGAACTGCAACAATATCGTAATCGTTTACGGCGACGTCTTCGTTATCATTTTATGTCACCGATTGATAAATGGAAAATTAAAGGACGTTTTCCATGGAAATTATTATTGCAAATAATTAAAATCATATTGGTCACAACACAGGTAATATTGTTCGGTAATAATACGGCTACAATTCGTTCTGTTGATCATGGCATGGTAAGTGTGATTTGTTTTTCAAATGAAATTTTAAAAAATTCTTGTCATCCACTCAACAGCTAATGACATTACATGATATTTTCCTGCTGAAATGGGATTCATCATTGGATCAACAATCGGTTCCGCCAAATATTGGACCATATGCCGTTTATACTAAAAACGATAGTAAGTGGATTATTTGAAAATTGATGATAAAAAATCTGATCCATTTTGTTTTTCAAAAAAGTTTTTAGCCATATTGATTATGCAATTAAAAATTATGAAAATATAACAAATCTAGCGCTTGGTTCATTTGGTTATCGTTTGGATCATGTTCATTCGAATAATAGTCATAATAATCCTGATCAACCACATCAAAATAATCAATTATCACCAATAACAATCTGTTTTGAACGTTATGCAAATGTAACATTATCACCAACAACAAGTGAATATTATATTGATCAACGTATTGAACATCAATGTTTGAAAATTAAATCGCTTTATCCGCCTGGCTCAATGGAATGGAAAACATTTTCATTTGAACAATATCTATTACAGTATGCACCGGATCAATTACATTTTGAATCATTGATACATTTATCGATAAAATTTCCATTACGTGTCATTTTATTGAATACATTGGCCGCATTTAATATACCAAGATGTTATGATTTGAATTTAACCATTAATTTTAATAATCGACAACATTCAGGTGAAATTGCCATCACAATGGCATTGAATAAATTATTAATCAATTGTTATGGTAAGTTATTTTGTTTGTTTATGATACGAGAAAATTTTTTTTTTTGAAATTTCTTTTTTTTTACACACCACAGGTAATCTGAAAGCTTATAATCATGAAACAAAACTAGAACAGATAACCATCGTTATAAATATGATCGTATTGTTTCTTTGTTCAATGTCGTTGATATTATGTTTACGAACATTAATGAATTCACAATCATTGCGTAGAAAAACGAATCATTTTTTCAATATTGCCTATAAACGTAATTTGGATACACAATCTTCATTGCATTTTATTGATGGTTGGATTCTGATGATACTGTTCAATGATTGTCTATTAATTATTGGCACCATAATTAATTTACTGCGAAGATTTAATATGATTGGACCGAATCATGTGAATGCATTACATCCATTTGAATTGGATAGCCTATGTTCAGCATTGCTTGGTGTTGGTTTATTGCTAGTTTGGTTTGGCATACTACGATATTTGACATTTTTCGATCATTACAACATTCTTTTGGTGACAATCAAACGTTCATTATCAAGAGTTTTACGTTTCAGTTTATGTGTATTGATACTGTACGGTGGATTCTGTTTTAGTGGCTGGATCATACTTGGACCGTATCATTTTAAATTCTATACACTTGCACGTACCAGTGAATGTTTATTCGCATTGATGAATGGTGATGATGTTTTTGCAACGTTTGCCTATTTAGAACCAGCAATATCACCGTTTGTATGGTGGTTTTCTCGAATCTATCTTTATAGCTATGTTTTATTATTCATTTATGTTGTGCTCACCTTGTTCAGTTCTATATTGATGGATTCATATGACACAATCAAAGGTTATTATGCTAGTCGTTCAGATGAACAACGCATAATGCGTGTAGATTTTACATGGTCAAATGATCAATTATCAAAATTTTTATCGGCAATATTCAACGATGATGATTTTGATGATGATGATGGTAATCTAGACACATTATCTAGTTATCGTTTTAGTCTAATTCAAGATGATTATCATCAACAACGTTTAAATGATGAATCATCACCAAATAATAATCATAATCATCATAATTGTTGTACAAATTGTTTAAATAATCATCGTCATAGATCATCATGTTGGCAATGGCCATTACAATTATTGTCAAATTTATTTCATCGACAATTTTTTCGTTTTAGTAATGATCGTCATCATCATCATTCATCATCATTATCATCTACGACAACAACAGATGGCGATACTGAACCATTAGCTAGATCGGAAATAATCAACTGAATGAAATGAATGGAGTCCATGTGTATCATTTTAAATTGACGAAATTATATTTGTATATTTAATATTTACTAATTGCTTATGTATTAAGAATTCACAAAACAAAACAAAAAAAAATTCATTCACTTGCCACCATTTAATGCCTTTTCATTTCATTTTTTGCTTTTTTTTGACAATAAAAAAAAATTTATTTTAAAAATCACAATCGAACAAAAATATTCGGGTCGCTAATGTCAGTGTTCCATGTGTCATTTTGGTTGCACAATACCACCGACAACAACAACAACAACACTTGATCCAGTAATTACAATATTGGGTTACAAAGTGGTGAGAAAAAGCAAAAAAAAAGAAACCAGAAAAAAATGGCGTTCAAATATGATGGTCAAACATTACCAGAATGAATAACAACAACAACAACAACAACAACTATCCAATGGTCAACATAACATTGTGTAACGATATTTAATAACATTTTTTTTTTGCATCATCATCATCATCATCATCTACATGAATCACCAATGTATTGTGTAATTATCTACATGGAAAGAATTGTCAAGTGTTTTTTTTTTTTTTTTTCTTCGTTCGTTCGTTTGTTGTTCAAAGTACCATAATTCCATATGATTTTTTTTGGGTTCTCTCTGTGTGTGTGTGTGTGTGCGTGTATAGATGTGCTTTATCATCATTGAAATTAAAAATAATGATGATAATCATTATTCCAGAGAGAGAGAGAGAGAGAGAGAGAGAGAGAGAGAGAGAAGAGGAGAAATAAAGTAGAAAAAAAAACAGTAACATTAATTAATATGAATGACTTTGAATATAATAATAATAATAAAAAAGATTTTTCTCTCCACTCACTAATTCGTTGATTCCATGATTTTTTTTCATAATCATCGGCCATCATCAAAATGGAATTATCGTTTTGTAAAAAAATTTTTTTTTTAATCCATATTTTTGGTGTTTGTTTAGAGTTTGAAAATTTCAATTTTTTGTTTTTCAAATCGCCAAATCATTGTGTGTGTGTCTGTCAGTTTTTTTTTGCAAATTTTACAGCTCAATGAGCTGTCATCAGTTTTTCCACTTACAAAAGCTTATATAGGCTTTATATTTTCATTTTCATTTTCATTTTTTTGTTGTTTTCACTTTCATCATAATCAGATCTATTTTTAGCTTTTGATAATATGAAAAACAAAATGGACAAAATTTTTTTTTTTTTGTTTGCTTCAACAAACACACACAGTTTTTTTTTTGGGCAATTCAATTCAACACAGTTTTTCCAGTTCCTGTTTTGCCATTGCTTGAATATGAAATTTTGATTCTAAAAAAAACGAATTAAACACTATATATATTTAATCGCTTGAATTTCATCATCATCGTGGTACAACAACAACAACAACAAAAAAAATCGAATCATGATGTATGTTGTCCATGTCTTGTGATTTTTCATTCTCAATTTTTTTTTCTGTTCGTTTAGATTAAATTTCAAAAAAAAAATGAGAAAAAATTTTTTTCCCAGAAAATTTTTTCTCATTTTTTTCCCCATTGTCTTGTTCCATTCACAATTCATCATCACATCTTATTTTATTCATTCAATGGTATGTGAAATAAATTAATTTTTTTTTCTCTTTGTTCAAAATGAAACCAAACACCCGATATTTTTTTTTTTTCAATTACACAGAATTGTTATCATAATAAAACCGAACAAACAAATAATAAAAAATTCACAACAATTGCAAACATTTACGGGTAATAAATGCAGCAATAATAAGAATATGACGGAAAGAATTCGATAGTAAAATTCAACATCGACAAAAATACCAGACAAATAATAATCGGTTTTGTTACACTCACTCACACACACACACACACACACACAGAATCGGTTACAGAATTTTTGTCCACAATTTAATCGATGATTGTCCATTTCGGCCCAATTTTTTTTTCTATTCGTATGTTGTATCAAGTCTAAAAAAAAAGAAATTGATTAAATGTGACCATAATAATAATCACAACGTATTATTACTGGTGTTGGCGGTGGCAATGGTGTTGGTGGTTATTAAAATGGGCCACAATTTTTTTTGTTTTGTTTTTTGTTGTTGTTGTTTTGTTTTGTTTTTACTTTCCTATTCCATTGACACAATTTTCAAACATAAATAGAAGGAAAACGGAAATATCATGTGTGAATTGGTGGTGTGTTTCATTTTTTTTTTAAAACAATTTTTAGATCAAACCGAAAATAAAAATGTACCGATTTATTATCTAGTGCAAATAAATGAGCGACCAAAAAAAATAATAAAAAATAACACAACTATACCAATCTCAAGAGAATTTACTATATTTACATGTTAGAAATATGAAAGAATTTCTATGAATAAATGGATTTTTGGATATATGGAAAAAGAATTTCTCTTTTTTTTCTATCCAGATACAAAAACCAGAATATGATAAAAAAAGAAATCCAGACACACATAGTGAATTTGTGTGTGTGTTTGTGTATGGATAAAATCCATAGAGATCTATTGTCAAAAAATATGAAAATATGAAGAAAAAAAAAACATTCAATGATGAATGATTGCAAAACATTTTCTTCTTCTTCTTATTCTTCATCATTGCTAGTTCCATTCAAATAAACAAACTAAACACACACACACACAGACATGTGAATAATTTTTTTTTTACTTGGATTCTCTCTTTTTTGTTCACAGAATAAAAATATGAAGCAATTTTCTTTGGTCTTTATCTCAGTTTGTTTGCTGCAAAGTTTTTTTCTTTTTTTTTTTTTTTTTTGCTTTTTCATTCATTCATTCAATTTTTCTCTACTTCAAAGTATGTATAGTTCAGTGTGTGTTTTTTTTTCTTTTCGTTTTAGTTTTTTTTTTTTTCATTTATTCAGATTCAAAATCCATTTTTTTCCATTTAAAAGAACACCATTTTCGCTTGATGTGTCTGTGTGTGTTGATGTCATCAGTGTTAATAATCAATTTCCTCATTATTACAAACACACACACACACACACACACACACACACACACACACAGATCAAAAGCATCATCATCATCATCATCATCATCGTCGTCATTTATATATTATTTTCTAAGAAGAAGAAAAAAAAAGAACTTATTAAACATCAGGCAAAAATGACGACGATGATGATGATGATGATGACAAAAATTTTTTTCCATCATCATCATCATCATCATCCAAATCATCAGCCAAGAAAAAAAAATCATGTCCAGTAACAACAGAAACATCGGCAGCAGCAGCAGCAACAGCATCAATAGTACAATATTGACCAATCAATAATAATAATAAAATTTATGCTTCTTCCACATAGACAACGCATACACACACACACAAACAAACACTGAGAGACACGCAAACATCAATTTTTCAAACTGAATAAATGTAAGTGTATCATTTTTATCCAGCTTACAACATTACTGCCATCATTTCAAATACATATAATTCTCGACAAACAAACAAACAAACAAACAAACAAACACGCATACACGATGCATATAGTATGATCGCGACAATTTTTTTTTTTTTTTTTTTTTTTTTTTTGAAAAAATCTATTTAATTGAACAATTTTTTTGGTGGCAAATGGACAAACATTAAACGTTCGATTCTTTCATTCGAATTCATTGATCTGTTCAGTTTTTTTTGTTGGTCATTAATTTTTTATTTCTTTTTTTTTCATTGTCCTTGTTGGTCAATGCGTATTTTTATTTACTGTTATTTGTGTTGTGTGTGTGTGTGTGTGCAAAAATCGATTTGTTCGATAATTGAATCAATTAATGATAAAAAGAAAACAAAACAAGCAAAAAAAAAATTCATCTATTTGTCAACTAAATTATCTAGTACAACTGCAACAACAACAAAATGTCAATGGAACCTAATGATCATAGCGAGGAAATGATGACCAATTTATTATTAGAACAATGGCCAATCAATCATGATCCATTAATAACACCAACAACAACAACAACAACAGCTGCTGCTGAAGCATCACCAAAATCAAAAACGGAAATATTTGATTCATATGATGATAATAATAATAATGTGACAATGATGACAGCTACAATTAAATCAATGAATGACAATCATCATTTAGAACAACAATCGCAAAAACAATTAACAAAAGATGATCATCATCATCATCATCATCATCATGGTGGTGGTGGTAATCGCTGTAATCGTAATTCAAATAAGAAAAAAACAACATCCTCACGCACATCACCATCATCATCATCATCATCGTCATCTTCGTCTTCATCATCGTTAAATACAGCAACAAATGCAACCATTTTATCGACACCAACAACCAATAATAGTTTACCACCACAACTACCGACACAATCACAACGACCACCACCATCAAACCCAAATGATGATGATGTTGATGAGGAAGATTCAATAATTAAAATGATAATGATTGATAACACTAATGATCCAGAAACAATTAATAATCATCAAACACTACCACCAATACAACAATCATCATCATCATCATCATCGACAGGATGGTTTAATTATCTAACAACATCGATTCGTAATTTAATTACCAATTCAAATAATCAACAACGAAAACGACAACAACGACGACATATATCAGATTATACATATTATTATAATAATGTAAATAAAACAGACACGAATATAAATCATATGGATATCGATGTTAATGATGATAATAATCTACAAGAATTTATTACAATAGTCAATACAGCAGCAGCTGTAGATACAAATATCAATCAATCACCGCAAACAGCTGAATTGACTTTATATAATTCTACTCCTCAACAACAACAACAACAACAACCATCATCATCATCATCGATTCATCATCATCATCATGATGATGATAGTCGTCGTAATTCATTAATACCATTATCATCTGATACAATATCATCACCACCAGTTGTAGTAACAACAACAACATCATTACAACAACAACAACAGCAACAACAACAACAACAACAACAATCATCATCATCATCATTATTATTATCAATAAAATTTTGTCAAAATTTTCTCATCAAAATGGCCATTGCTGCATTCTTATTTATTGTATTGGCAGTAATATTTCAAAGTTTTTTTATACTGACATTTAAATGTAAAAAAAATAAGAAATTTTTTTATTGTTTTCTGTTTAATTCAACAAAATGTTTGACTTTTGTTTTGTTTTGTTTTTTTTCGAATATTTAATCCATAGGTGAAGATAGCAGTAAACATACTAATCATCCGAACAATGTATCAATACAATCAATTAATGGTAATGTATCCGGAAAGCAACCACCACCATCAACAACATATTATTGTGATCCAAACAGATCAATCACAATCAACAATAATTATGGACAACAATCATCAATGATTGATAATTCATCATCATCATCATCATCGTCTTTGTATTCGAATGATGAACAATTATTATCGAAATCTAATCATTATCAAGATACTGATAATGAACAATTTCCATGGCAAGATGTACGTCTACCTCGATTTATACAGCCAATACATTATGATATTTATATGCAACCAGATATTGATTCGTTGATCAATGAAGGAAATGTTTCCATACAAATAAAAGTGATGGAATGGACAGAATTTTTGATTATTCATGTAAAAAAATTAAACATTACAAACATATCATTATCATTATTATCAACACAAGTATTGAATAATCAATCAGAAATGATCAATATACGTAAATATAGTGAATGTATAAAATTAGAACAATTATACATTGAATTTGATCAACAATTACGACCAGATCATGAATATCGGTTATCGATTGGATTCTGGAAAAAAATTGAAGATCAATTAGAAGGTTTCTATGTTAGTAGTTATTATAATCAAAAACTACAACAAAAACGACATCTATTGACCACACATTTTGAACCAACATTAGCACGTTCAGCGTTTCCTTGTTTCGATGAACCAGCCATGAAAGGTAAATGAATGAAAAAATGGAAAATTTTCACTTTTCATTTTTTTATCCATCTCTTTCTTTTCTTTTTTTTTCGCTCAAAATCTAGCATCATTTCAATTACAAATGATACATGATGAACAATATAATGCCTATTTTAATACGGAAAAAATAAATGAAAAACGTCTGATCATTGATAATGATGATGGAAATGGAAAAAAATCCGTGAAAATCATATCGATGTTTGAACCAACAGTACCGATGTCAACATATGTAATTGCATTTGTTGTTTGTGATTTTTCCTACGTACCTGGTGAGACAATAAATGGCATAAAAACCGGTGCACTGGTACCGATTGGTCAGGAACAGAATGCAATGTTTGCATTGAATGCAACGAAATTCATATTGGACTATTTCGAAGGATTCTTTAAGATTCCATATCCATTGAAAAAATTAGATCTTGTGGCCGTACCGGATTTTGGTGCCGGTGCCATGGAAAATTGGGGCCTGATCACTTTTCGTATGACAACATTATTGTATAATGAACGTGAATCTAGTAGCGAAGTAAAAGAACAGGTAGCGATTGTTGTTTCACATGAAATTGCTCATCAATGGTTTGGCAATCTGGTCACAATGAATTGGTGGAATGATCTATGGCTAAATGAAGGTTTTGCATCGTTTGTTGAAAATCTGGGTGTTGATTTCATACATCCAGAATGGTAAGTTATTCATTGAATGAATGAATCGATTAATTCAAATCATTATTCCTGGTTATAGGCGAATGTTGGATCAATTTGTCATATCAACATCACAGCATGCATTGGCATTGGATTCATTGTTTAGTTCACATCCAATCAATACAACAGTTGCAAATCCAGCTGATATTGAAGGAATGTTTGATTTGATTTCCTATAAAAAGGTAAATATTGAAAAAAAGTGAAAGAAACTCATTTTTTTCTTTTTTTTTTATTTCCAGGGATCATGTTTAATACGTATGATTGTAGATTTTCTTGGTTTGGAAAATTTACAACGTGGTTTAGAAAATTATCTGAATCGATATAAATTTGAAACGGCACGCACTAGTCAACTATGGGAATGTTTTTCCCGTGTTTCGGCCACATTACCAGTGAATGTATCAGCCATAATGGATACATGGATTTTCCAACAAGGATATCCGGTTATTATGGTTGAATGGAATTCAAATGGTACGGAAATTATAGTCAAACAACAACGTTTTATATCATCACTTAGTCCGGATGAATTTCAACAACAATTAAATGATAATAAATCCACAATGTTTGTGAATCAAACATGGATCGTTCCATTAACATTGATTACGCCGAAAATCGATCAAAACAACCACAATAATCAAGTATATTGGCTTAATTCCAGTGAACAACGAATCCAATTGGATCGGATGAAAAATCCATGGTTTAAATTAAATCGTAAACAAAGTGGTTTTTATCGTGTTAATTATGAACAATCAATTTGGCAACAATTAATTCGATTGCTTCATCAACAACAGCAAACATCGAACGGTAGACTTTCACCATCAGATCGTGCTGGATTAATTGATGATGCATTGTCATTGATGCGTAATGGTTATCTAGATGTTGCAATCGCAATGAATCTGACAAGATATCTAGGTAAGATGTTTTTTGTTTGTTTGTACGTCATTTATGGAGTGATTTGTTGATCTTTTTAAATTAGAAAATAATGAACAAGATTATGTACCATGGGAAACATTATTAACACATTTCGGAACATTCGACGGGATAATGCCGCAAAATCCACTGTTACATCGTTATATATTACGTCTTATATTGCCAATGGTAGAAAAACTTGATTGGAATGAAAGACCCGAGGATGGTATGTTTGAGAAAAAACTTCGTGCCATACTATTACGTGCGGCTGTTTATTATGGTCATCGATCATCCATCGATAAAGCGTCATATTATTTTCGTCGTTGGATGAACGATGCTGTTCCGGTTCCAGCGAATATACGAGATATTGTATATAGTGCCGGTATTGAATACGGTACTGATCGTGAATGGGATTATTGTTGGCATAAATATATCAATACAACTGTTGCATCGGAAAAACGATTATTACTAGGTGTGATTGGTTCTACACGTAATTATTATCTACTGTCCAAATATCTGGAATCATCATTGGATCGTACGAAAATCCGTACACAAGATATATATTTTGTCATACAAAATGTTGCTCGCAATCCAATTGGACGTGATATGGCATGGAAATTTGTTCGGTCAAATTGGCAACAAATTTTCGACATTTTTGGTATGGGTTCATTTGCATTGGATACAATTATATCGGAAACAACGTGGCATTTTTCCACACAATTTGATTATGATCAAGTGGATCAATATTTTCAACATGTACCGCTTGGATCCGGTAAATCGGCAGTGAAACAAAGTTTAGAAAAGATACATTCGAATATATTTTGGAAAAAATTTATTGAACCAAAATTGATTGATTGGTTACAGCGACAACAACAACAACAACAAGAAAAATGACCATTTTCCATAAATGATGATGTTCATGTCACCATGTTCATTGTACAAAATTGCTGTTAATAATATTATCAACCGAAAAAAAATTGTGTTATTGAATGGAATTTTTCGTTTTCGTTTTTTTTTTTGTGTTGATTACAAATTATTTAAGAAAAAAACAAAACAACGATTCTATGGCGCCATCTGTAGATCATTAGAATGGTGTTTAACAAGGATTTTTTTTTTTGATTTTTTGTTTTCGATACAATGTAACATAGCGGACGGACGCATGCGTTTTTTTCTGGTTTTCGGTTTTCTTATTCTTTTTTAGATGTGTGTATAAGTTAATATATCCAAATTGATAATAATGTGATGGATGTGTTGCACCATCATACACGTTTGGTGCCAATTCATGGTGCATTCATTTTTTTTTTTTTTTTTTTGATTATAACCCCATAAAAGCTAATCTGTAATCAGTCATTGTTTTCATTTCAACTTTCATTTGAATAATACCATCATCATGAAGAATCAAGAATCGATTCTGTGTTATTCTGTATGTTGTATGTGTGCTTGGAAACGTAGACAACAATATGACAATAAATTATTCTAATCGTCGTTATCTATTCAAACAGCAATTTGTTCATCCATTTGTTAATCGATAAATCGAAGGTATGGTGATGATTCCATAAACAAAACTTGATCCATATATATTGTTTCCACACACACCATTGATTGTCGACGCCCAAACCAAGAATTTGTCGTTGATTTTATCTTAAAGAATAATAAAACAACGACAACAATCTGTTATTGTTTGTTTTTTTCTTGATAACATCGTCATCATTGTTTTAGAATCAAGAATTTCGAATTTTTTTTTTTTTTGATTCTTGACACATGATTACAATCATTGCAAGAAACAAAGAGAGATAGAACACTGAGTCATCACCATTAATTATAATGATGATCATTTTTGTTGTTGTTGTTTTTTTTTTTGGTAACGGATTCGGTAACTGTGTCTGTGTCTGTGTTTATATGAATGTCATGTTTTTATTATCCAACAATTTAAATTCGTTGCTAGGCGCCAACAAAAAAAAAAAAATTTGCTTTTTTTGTTTAGAAATTCAAGGCTAAAGAATTTTTTTTTTGTTTGTTTGTTTGTTCTGGCCCAGAGAGCAACAGGCACCATTATAGATACATTTATATTTATCAATGGCTACAATATACCACTACTATTCGTTTTGTTATGATTTTTTTTTGTTTTGTTCATCGATTTCGAATCGAGAATCAAACATGATGATCACAGAAAAAAAAACATGCAAAAAAAAATGGGCAATGCTTGACCACAAAAATTGTTGCAATGTTGATTGAGCACACACAGAATATAACCGCCTAAAAAAACAGACTGTTGCTAACAACATTACACGCGATGATGATGATGAATACATAGCAACCTAATCGACCAACATTAACAGATATATATATAGATAGATAGATGGATAGACGGTTGGTAAATCGACGATTTTCTGTAAAACGAGAAAAAAAAAATCTAAACCAACTTTTTATTTTATTGAATGAAATGAGCTGCGGCGTATATATACCACCACCAACAACAAAATATCATCGACACACAAAGAAAGACAGACAGAGAGAGAGAGAGAGAAAGAGCAATCAGTGGCTCTACCTCGTTGATGCATCTGGCGTTATTATCGTGCTCGATTGTTTTTGTGTCTGTCTGTGTGTGTGTGATATCAATAATTTTTTTTTTTTTCTTCCACTTTATAGATCGCTCAAAATTCAAGTAGTATTTTGAGCGAATCGATTCCATTTTTTTTTTTTTTTTTTTTTGATTTACGATGCATTGGTGGGTGTGCCATGACCATATCTTTATCATGTGACCATCTAGAAATTATCCTATCTTTTTATACAATCTATCATCTCATTAATTGTACCAAACAACAAAACAGGAACAACAACAACAACTACAACGCACAGAAGAACCAAAGTGATGTCACCATCTGAATGGCTAATGTGTGACTAAGCGACCAAAAATAAAAGAAAGAAAGAAAAAAAATATCGCAATCCAAAGCAACAAACGTCATCATCATCATCCCCACCACCACCAACAATCATCATCAACAGCAACCGACAAATTAGCCAATGATAAAAACATTGAGCAAGCAGCAGGAATTATTAAAATCTGTGATTGCCCCTCGTTTCAATCATCAATGATAGCCATATACCTATCTAGCCATGGCCATGTCCATCTTTAATAATAATAAGGGTGGTTCTTTCTCATTCTAAACCAATTCATCATCATCAATTATTAGCTTTGTTGTTTCATTTTCATGTTTCAAATTCTGCCAAAAACAAAAATAATTCATTAATCAATTGTAGTATACAAAATATAAATAGAGTGAATTGAAGAAGTTCATTTATTGGAAGTGGAAATAGTGAAATCACGGCAAAAAAATGGCCGATGATCAAATGATCAAGATAGCTGAAGATAATCGTGACAAAAGGGTTACCCGGTTAGAAGAATGTCTACTGGACCCAAAATCCGATCTCAATATCGATGGCCTTCTGGTAAATTACTGTTTAATTACTTGTTATTGACCATATTTTGATTTTGATTTGTCTGTTTGTTTTGTTTTGTTTGATAGGACTGTGTCCAGGCAATGGTCATTGATTGCAATCATCCTACATTGCGACGTATAAAAAATATTGATCTGTTTTTACAAAAATACGAAAAATACAACGATTTGATTGCCAATTCACGAATGAAACCCGATGATTTCAATGTGATCAAAGTAATTGGCTCTGGTGCTTTTGGTGAAGTGAAACTCGTACGACATAAATATACGAAAAAAGTATTTGCCATGAAGGTGCTTTCGAAATTCGAAATGATCAAACGATCGGATACATATTTTTGGGAGGAAAAATTCATCATGGCACACGCCGATTCTGATTGGATCGTCAAACTTCATTATGCCTTTCAGACAACCACTCATCTTTATATGGTCATGGATTATATGCCAGGTGGTGATCTTGTCAGTCTCATGTCCGAATATGATATACCTGAGAAATGGGCCAAATTCTATTGTGCTGAAGTGGTTCTAGCTTTGGACACCATTCATTTGATGGGTTTTGTGCATCGTGACGTCAAACCCGACAACATGTTGCTTGATCATCGTGGTCATTTGAAATTGGCTGATTTCGGTACCTGTATGCGTATGGACGACAATGGTCTTGTCCATTCGGAAACGGCTGTCGGTACACCAGATTATATTTCACCCGAAGTGCTAAGATCGCAAAGCGGCAAAGAATGTTATGGTCGTGAATGTGATTATTGGTCGGTGGGTGTTTTCCTATACGAAATGCTCATCGGTGATACACCATTTTTTGCTGAATCATTAGTTGGAACTTATGGCAAGATTATGGATCACAAAAATCATCTTCATTTTCCGGATGATGTAGAGATATCGGTGGAAGCTCGAAGTCTTATTTGTGCCTTTCTTACGGATCGCCTTAATCGTTTGGGTAGAAATGGAATGACCGAAGTAAAAATACATCCATTCTTTCAGAATGAACAATGGACATTCGACAACATTCACCAGTGTATCGCACCCGTAATCCCAGAATTATGTGGCGATGATGATACCAGTAATTTTAACTCTAACCGTATCGACATACGTAAAGATAATGAACATTTTCCCGAACCACGAGCTTTCGCTGGCAATCATATTCCGTTCATCGGATTTACTTATTCAGGTGATAATGCCCTTCTTTGTCGTAAACGACGCCATTCTCAAGCACGAAAACAATCGGTTGATAGTGATTCCGATTTGATGGCCAGTCGCATGACGGATCTTAGTGATCCAGATAAACGTTCACTAGCGATGGATACGAACGTCGAATTGGACCATAAATTTCGTCTCACCATAATTGAGAAAGATAGACAAATTGATTCATTGCAGAATGATAAAGCTTATTTGGAAAAACATCTGAATTCATTACGTCAAAATCTAATCAAAGTTCGTGCCACACTTGATCAGGAAACTGAAAATCGTCAGGCGGCAGAAAAATCGATAATTGATTTTCGTAAAAAATATGATTCCGAACGAACACAAAGGATACAGACACAGAATGCTTTGAATGAAAAAAATTCAACCATGGAAAAGAAATTGGCAATGTTAACAGAAATGTTGCAAAAAGAAAAAGAGAATTTCGCTCGTGAATCAATCAAAATGAACGATCTACAGCATACCATTCGTAATCAGGAGCTTGTCATTGGTGAAATGAAAAACAAAATTGCCATGTTTGAAAAGATATCCGATAGCAAAGAAAAAGATGTGTCGACTACACGTGAAGAGCTAAATATTGCCACGAATCTTTTGAACAATTTTAAGGCAAAAGTCAAACAATTAGAATGTAAGTGTTGTTTTTTTTGTCTCGTTTTTTTGTCTCATCTTTTTAATTCATTTTGTTCACTATAGCACAAATAATTATACTTACTAATGAGCTACATGAACTTCGACCAATGGCTACGAATAATAATAAAGCAAATCGTCCGATGGCTATTGTTACACCTGATCAGAATGATAATAGTATTGTAACCACAACCAATGCTAATGATGACCATAATACTGAAGTCCTGATTCATTCGGACCAATTCCAAGATGTTTCTGGTAAATAATTGATCTATTGATTACTGCAAGTTTTACTTGAATTTTTTTTTCATTTTTTTTGTAGCTTTAAAATCAATGCTTGAAGGTGAAATTCATAAACGTCAACAATTGGAAACAGTGGTGAAAGAAAGAGAACAAGAAATTGATTGTTTAAAAATCGATAGACAACAACTACAGCAACAAGTGCAAAGTTTGGAAAAAGATCGTTCATTCATTATTGATAATGATGATAATGTTGACAATGAAATCAAACAATATCTTTCCGATAATCGTAATCTTTCGGATGTGAAAATTTTGGCACAAAAATTGGCCTTTTCTGATAGTGAAAATCAATTAATCAAATCACAATTGGAAGAAGCAAAGAAAGTGTATAAAAAATTGTCCATGTAAGTACCATTTATATACAAGATTGTCTGGCAATGATTTAATTTGGATCATTTGTATATTTTTTTTTTTTTTTAAATAGTGATTACAGTGATATGAAAATCCGTTTAGATACTGAGCACTGTTTTTCAGAAATTTATAAAAATCAATTAAATGAAATTAGCGAAGAATTGAATGAAAAAACATCTGAATTGAATACGCTTACCAGGGAAAAGACCGATATTGTACAGGAGAATGAATATCTCAAGAATCAGCTCAAACATGATACAAATTACAAAGAACGTATGACCACATTGGAAAGTGAAAAATCTGATCTCGAAAATGAATTAGATGAACTACGTAAACAATTGGCCAACGTGAAAAAGGATTCACATACGGCCATTGAAACACTTCGTTGTAATGAACGTGAACTTTGTGATTATATACAGGAATTGAAAAAGAAAAACAAAGAATTTGAAATCAAAATGAGAGAATTGAATAATAATGTAGATTCAATTGCCACCGTACAACAGGAGAATCAAACATTGGCTAAACAATTACAGCAAGAAAAATTGCTCAAAGAACAAGCAGTGAACAAATTGGCCGAAATTATGAATAGACGTGACATGAAAATGAATGACAAAAAGGCCAAAAGCTCTATTGTGATGGAGCTGAAGAAAAAAGAAAAAGAATGCCGCAAATTGGAACAGGAACTCAATTCGGAACGAGATTCGTGTAGCCAAAAGATTTCAAAATTACAGAAAGAATTTAACGACATTCAAGCCATCTTACAAGAGGAAACTCAACAACGACTTCGGCTACATATGGAAGTGGCAGCCAAAGATGCTGAATTAGAACAATTTCGTAGTAAAAATACCCGATTATCAGAGGAAAATCTGTCAACAACATCATCAACGTCATCTGTGGTCGTCGGCACTTCATCATCATATCTACAACAATCAACACAATCCATACCCAATACCGTAGAAGAAGTGGATGAATCAAGACTAGAAGGTTGGCTTTCCATACCGAATAAACAGAATATTCGTCGTCATGGTTGGCGCAAACAATACGTAGTTGTATCGAGCCGAAAAATTATATTCTACAATAATGAAAACGATAAAGCTAAATCGGATCCAACACTTATACTTGATCTTTGGTATATGTTTCTATTTTGACCTTGTGACATTGACAAACTAACAAAAAAAAAATTATTTTTTTTCTACTAAAGTAAATTGTTTCATGCCCGTTCCGTATCTCAAGGTGATGTGATCCGTGCCGATGCTAAAGATATTCCTCGTATATTTCAGGTTAGTTAATTTGGTTAATGATTAATTGATTGCCACATTCTAATATATCGAATTTCTTTTCCACAGCTTTTATACGCATGTGAAGGAGAAAGTCGTAAACCAGGTGGCGATAGTTCATCACATTTAGATAATCATTTTCATCATGGTAAAGATGTAAGTTGAAAAATTTTTTTGATTTAAAAGTTTTAATGTAACTAAACACACGCACGTGTTTTTTTTTCTTTTGTTCAGTCGACGACTATTGAACATAAAGGACATGAATTTATACCGATTACGTTTCATATGCCAACTTCTTGTGAAGTTTGTTTAAAACCAATGTGGCATATGTTAAAACCACCGCCAGCACTTGGTTGTAAAGGTAAGTGGTTTGGTTTTTTTTACTTTTTATCTATTGATATTGTGACCCAATAACTCATTGATTGTTTACATCTTTAGGCTGCCGGATGAAGATTCATAAAGAACATGTGGACAATAAACAAGAAAATAGTGTAACACCATGTCGAGTGTATCTTAAGAATTCTGCCAAAGAACTATTGTTGTTGGCTATGACCAGTGATGAGCAACAAAAATGGATTCATTTTCTTTGTAAACGAATCAAACAATGTGGTTATGCCGCATCCAATCATTCAGCTCATCAAAGGCACCAAAGTAATCTTAGTTTCCAAAGCAATTATTCATCAGATTCGATTGCCAGCGTCAAAACAACGCCAGACAAAAGTCATTTAGGTCAAAGTCGAAGTTTCACTTCAAGCCATGATCTTCATAACCAGGAACAGCAATCCATACAACAGGAAAAAAGTAGTCAACAAATTCATGATCATCATGATTCTTCTTCATCTGTCAGTGTGAATGAAATTCATCCAACCACTCAGTTCACATCATCATCAACATCATTATCATCGAACCGATCGGCCGGAAAAAACCGATGTTCATCGTCTGTATCGTCGAATCGATCATCCAATCATTTGTCTCATTCTGGTTTATCTACATCATTGACCAAATCGGCCACATTGCCACCACTTAATGGATCAAATAGTCAACAACAACAGCAACAAATGATGATTATGATGATGGGACAACAACAACAACAACATCAACAACAGCAAAGATCTGAATCTGATTTAACTAACGCCAGTTCAACAAGTAGTTCGAGCTCAATCAATTCGATTAACAACAACACTAATAACACCAATCAACCGATGAATGGACAACAGTAGCATACTATAGTGTTAATCATTTCTTTAGCTTAATAAATGAAAAAAATTGTTGTCGCTTTGACCTTTCCTTCCACCTACACCCATATTTTTTTAATGAATTGATCATATATTTTATTCTATTTTTACCAAAAGATTTTGTAATTCATTTTTTCATTGTGAATTTTATTTGAAATTAAAAAAAAGCCATAGAAACATCAACACTAAATGGTTTGTTTTGTTTTGACATTTTTTGGATTAAAAAATCATGTGGTGAAATGTTGGCCCGATAGATGGCGATTCAATTGCTTCAATTTTTTTTTTGGAAATCGTTACCGGGAAAGAAAATGAGTATAATTTTTTTTTTTTGATTCTCATTGTCAAACGACAACGACGCCAATAGTATCGAAAAATCATCAACAAAGTGATGAGATGCTTAGGCGATCGTTATCTTGGATGAATGACTTGGATGGATGAATTTGTGAAACAAATATTTACCATGGAATTAATGAAATACAACCAACCAATAGTGAATTGAATTGAGTTGAGTAATAAGAAAGTAAGTAGTGTCGTTATCGTACAAAATGATCCACTCACGACAAGCTCATTATTATTCCATGTCACGAATCGTCGAATGTAATCGAACACCCGCTCACACATGCACACAATAAAGACAATTGACAAACAAACAAACAAACAATCGTTTTACTACGACAAATGACAATCGAATTCTTCTCCGATAATCATCATAATAATAAGTCTGATGAATTGACTTTGTCAAGAATAAAAACAACGACCATTCTTTCTCTTACTCTCTATATGTTGTTGTTGTTCATCCAAAATTTGCATCGTTCAATCACATCATCTCAATCATCGTGTCATTTGATCATTTTGTAAATTTGTACACTAATTTAATTAATACCCTGAAACTATTATTTTGGATGGAAGATGGATTATACTTTACTTGATGATGGACAATGATAAACCCGAATTTTTATTTTTTTTTGCATTCATGGATGAAAAAAATCATTGAATGTAAATCGAAACTTGACGTTCATCTATCTATTCATCGGCTGGCTGCTGACTTATGAAAATGCTGTCAAGTTCACTGAATAGTTACAGAGTTAGTTTTAATGGAGAATTGCATATAAAAGAATCACATCATCATTCATTATAATCACATCCAAGGCAACCAAAAAAAAAAATTCTCCTTTATTTCTGTTGCTTGGATTCCAGAATAAACAGAATTCATTCGATTTCTTTTCACATTTTTTTTAATGGTATTGATTATTGGCGTGTACGAACATCAAATGCCGATAATATACTCGATTATTATGAGTTTTTTTCTTTTTGCTGAATTGCTGCTTATTATGAATGGCCCCTCATCTATCAGCAGATTTTTGCACACACATGACATATGGATGACATGTGCCTTTTCACTCTTTATCACTCTTTTCTATGAGTTTTTGTACATTTTTCTCTTTCTGTTTAGATCGGATCGGGGGAGAACCCTTTGCCCTTTATATATCGGCAGTTTTGATCTTGATTTCAGGTTTTGTTGCTGCTGCTGCTGTTGGATTCTTTGTGTATGGATCCGATTTCCGATTGTTTTCCATTTTGAAAAAGAAAAAGAAAGAAAAAAAACGGGCCGAGTGTCGACATGATCCCCGCAAAATAAGAACAATTCATGAACTTGTTTCACTACGGTTTTAACATGGCTACGTTTTCGTGTTTGAATCATAAATCACAGCAGCTTTTTTTTCTTACATTGTACATTCAAGACAGTTAGGCGCCCAGAAATACAAAAAAAAATTCCCATTTGGTAGTTATGGGCAAACAATGAAAAAAAAATCACAAATGTTTGCCTTTGTCTTTGTTAATGGCAACATTTATCGATTCGATAATTAGAAAGAAAGTGAGTAATAAGTGAGAAAAAGAAAAAGAAAAGCTCGTTTTGAATCAATTTTTTTTTCTTTCATTTTGAATTGTAAAAAAAAAATTTTTTTATTTTCAATGAAACGTGGCAAGCAACCATTTAGTCATCGATGATCAAGTTTTTTTGTTTTGGTTTTAATCGATCGATCCGTTTAATGAACTGGAAATGGTGGAATCGTCGTCATCGTCATCATCATCATCATCATGTGAGTTGATTCGGATGAATGAATTGAATGTCCGTTTTGTTTTCGAAATATCCGTATTATACAAAGACAGAAAACATTTTCATTTTTATAGCCATTACTGGAATTTTTTTTTTCGTTTGTTTCAAAAAGGCTCAGATGCTTTTTTGGATCTTTTTTTCTGGAAATTGTGAAACCAATTCCAATTAATGTGCAAGTGTGTGTGTGTGTGTGTGTGTGTGGCCATGATCATGATCTGATGTGGTGGTCATCATCATCATCATCATCATATCAAATCAAGCTGCTACTTCTGTGATGTTCTCTCTATGGCTTGTGGTACAATGTTTATCCATTTGAAACTGAAAAACACTCTATTTGAAATTCACAGTAATCTCGATCATCATCATCATCATCATCGTTATTATTATGATTGTCCCATTTGGCCAAATCATTCATACGCACACTGTTCTTTCTCTGTTTTTTTTATTTTTTTTATTTTATTTCCACTAACAATGTCTGTATACACTGGTCTCTAGTCTAGTCTAGTCTAGTCCGAACAAGATTTTTTTTTTTTTTTTTTGATCCAAAAAATTTTCTAGCCCCAACTACGACTATAGAATGGTTTTTCATTTCATTTCATTTCATTTTTCGTCAATCTGGTTTCGGTTATTCTAACTGTGTGTGTGTGTGTAATCATCATCATCACCGGGTTTTCGGTTTTGTCCGTTCTTTTTTTTTTTTTTGTGGCATCTAAACTATGGCTGACCACCACTATGATGGTGTACCTACCACCACCACCACCAACAACAACAATAATAATAAAAACAGGACCAAACCAAAATTGATACAGGAACCATTGTGTGTGTGTGTTTTATCCTGGCCAAAGAAGAAAAAAAAGGGATCGAGATTATAATCAGGGTCTCACACATAATACAGAAACAAACAAAATCATACCAAACTACATTCTACAATTGAAAACAAAAAATAAATTACTCCAATTTTTTTTCGTGCTGGTCTTGTTTCTGGGATTTTCTCTTTTTCTTTCACTGCATTTTTTTCCATTTTGCGTTTTAATTTTGTCTTATTTTTTTTCATTTTCATTTTCATTTCATTTTTTCTGGTGAACCCATTTGACTATTTTTATTTTTTTTTTTTGAAACTTTTTTCCATTTCTATTTCACTCATGAATATCATATGGTTTTCAATGGCAATTAGTATGGCAAACTATTAGCAACACAAGACAAGACAAGACTAGCTGGTCGCTGGTCGCATGAATGAATGAAAAAAAACCATCAACTTTTGAGACGGTCAGTCATTGGGGACCAATATATTCATTGAAGCCAATTCTTTATTCTTGAAGGAAACAACAGAAAAAAAACAAAACAAATAAAAATCTTTTTCCAATCCACTTGAACTATCCATTTGTTCACATAAATTGTTTTGTTTAGTTTAATTGAAACATGAATATCGTATAGGCCACATGTTTTTTTTTGTTTGTTTGTTTGTTTGTTTGTTTGACTAAAATATCGAATTGACTGGCCACATTCGATTCAGAAATAGGAAACTGTATCGATCCATATTGTGTCTATTTATTTATTTTTGTTTGTTTGTTTGTTTGTTTTTCTTGGATGTCATTGTCAATACTAGCTGTTGATGATGATGAGGATGATGCAATAAGTTTCGTGCGTGTGTGTGTGTGTCAAATGTTATAGACCAGTTAAGAGTGATCATTACACATCTTATATTGTGAAATGGCTACCATCATCATCATCATCATCATGATGATGATGGTAGCCATTCCCATTTTCAATGAAGTGTCTATTTTTTTTTTTTTTTACTAAACGTGTGTGCGTGCCAATGTGTGTGTGTATGTTTGTCAAAGCAAATATTGACACATAAAACTCAATGTCGTTGTTGTTTGTCTATTTGTTTGTTTGTTTGACAACGAACCGAATGAAAAGCAAACTATCGATCCAAATGTGTGTAATGGAAACTTTAATGTGTAAATGGGAAACGAAATGAAAAAAATTCTCTCTTTGAAACGAATTCATCCGAATTCTCGAATTTGATGATGTTTGGTGCCCAATTTTTTTTTGGGTTTCTGTTCAGCAAATGTATCGATCCATGTCAGTCAATGTTTTATTTTATTTTTTTTTTTTCATTTTATCCATAAACGTTGGGCGTCTTTGTCGTAACGACAAGCCGTACTAATGATGATGATGATGATGATGATGATGATGACAATTAGCTCCGATCCGAAACCGAAAAAAACATTGATGATGGAGAATATTTTGTGCTCGACTAGGTTGAAAACAATGTTAACATACAGATGACCGGATTCATTTGTTTCTGTTTCTACTTTTATTATGGCTGGCTGACTGACTGGTTGGTTGGTTGGTTCATTTTGTCTCTAATTGAATTTTGTCTTTCATTTTTTGTTTCGTTTCGTTTCGTTTTGTTTCGGAAATGTCAGCTTCTATTACGGAAACGGAAATATTTTTGAATCGATTCTAAAATGAGAATCCAAATATAAAAATAAAAATCGATTGAGATGTCGCATCATTCTCTGGTAATTACTATTACTATTACTATGGCTGCTGATGTTGTTGTTGTTGTTGTATGCTAGCCACATCATATACTACAGGTCTCCATTGGGACATTTCTTGTGTGTGTGTGTGTGTGTGTGTGTGTGTGTGTTAGTTCGGTGGAACACTACAAGAATGGACAATGAACCAAATATGCGCCAAATTCAAGCTCATTCAAGACGTGGTTTTTTGTTGTTGTTAATCCAATCATTGAAGCCATTGCACAGTCCAAATTTTTTCTTTATTGTTGTATATGTTTGAAAATAGTGAATGTGAATTGAATAAATGCATTTTGAGGGTTCACATTTGATCAATTGACCAAAATTAGTCATTGGTCTGTATATGTGTGTGTGTGTTGTATACTTAACTTGATTGAAATGTCACCCAATGAATAGTAGTATATAACGTCTTTAAGGTCCAACAACAACAACAACAACAACAACAATGGTCATTCTCATTATAAATGCAGTCCATCTAGTAGTAGTAGTAGTATAGTAGTATTAAAAATCTAAATCAAAATCAGAATTGAAATTCTTTTTGTTGGCCTGATCAAATCGTTTTTCATCACCATTATCATTCTTCTGAATAGAAAGTGAAAGAAAGTCAGAAAAAATGAAATGAAAAAAAAAATTAAAATCAAAATTCAAAGCATAACATTGTGTGTGTGTGTGTGTCAGTAGTCGTTTTTTAAGCCTCTTTATCATCATCATCATCTTCATTGTCATCGATGGCCACATTACTTAAACACACAGGCACAGGAAAAGAAACTATTTTTTTGGGCCAAAAAAAAAAAAAAAATAAATAAAATCGATATGGCTATCACACAATGCAAAGAAAGTACATAAATACAATATATATATACGTATACGTATAATACGCGCGCATACACATAGTATTTCAGTGTTTGTGTGTGTGTGTGTGTATATTGTGAATATATATGATTCACACACATATGGCCAATGACTACGATAATGATGATGATGATGATGATGATGAAGATGAAAATGAAAAGATGTGAAGCCACCTCCTATTGTAGGCGGCACTGAAACTGATCAACATTTTACTGGCTTGAATCTTTCATCCAGTGTGTAAGATGGGATGCTGGTGTTTTTTTTTTTTTTTTTTTGGAAAATTTGATCTGGATTGGCGCCAGATCATACAGTTGCTTTCGAGACTACAAATCAAATTGACGTCGAAAATTGTTTGTTGTGTGTGTGTGTGTGTGTGTGTGTGTGTATGTGACATGTGGTGTTTGTGTCCAGTATTTATTTTTTTTTGACCTTGAAATAATTTAAATTGTATAAAATCATGACTGATTTCCTGTTTCCAGGTGAAAGATTACTCAATGAAGTAATGACTGAACATCCAGGTGAACTGGTTCGTACTGGATCACCAAACATCATCTGTTCTGCACTACCAACACATTGGCGTTCAAATAAAACATTACCAGTCGCTTTCAAAGTGGTTGCATTAGGTGAAGTTAGTGATGGTACATTGGTCACCATTAAAGCCGGTAATGATGAAAATTGGTGTGGTGAATTACGAAATGCATCAGCTATAATGAAGAATCAAGTTGCTAAATTCAATGATCTTCGTTTTGTTGGCCGATCTGGCAGGGGTAAGTTAGTCAGTCAGTCAGTCAGTCAGTCTGTTTTTTTTGTTGTCAATTTTACTACCTATTTCTCAGGCCACACACTATCAATTAACAGTGTGTTGGGCCCGAAATTTCATCATTAATCTTAGTGTTTGGAATCGGGCGACTTTTGACCCGATAGTTTCGGTGTTGAATTTTTTTTCTCGTTGTTCTGTGTGTGTGTGTGTGATTGATTAACTTGTTAATGGATGTTATTCTACTCTGTTGTTATATATGTGATGTGATGTGATATTTGGCCTGTTGTCGTCGCCTTAATAGAATCGGGATCGAACCGATACTAAACAGGCTACAGAATATACAGAACCTTAATGTACATTGATTAGCTTGTTCGTCTGTCGTTATTATTATTTTTTTTTTTGTTTCATTGTCTGCATGATCGATCATCATTATTATATTTACCCGATGCCAACAAAAATCGATGTAGCGAAACATTATTCAGCAGCCATCATAATCAACAGCCGCCATCCAGAACAACAACGAAGAAAAAAAAAAGAAAAAACAATCGTAAAAGAAATTCACAAGAATCAAGCCAATACTTTCATTTTATTTATTTATTATTATTATAATATTACCATCAGTCAGTCATATTTAATACTTGTATGTTCCACTTTATTTAACGTGCTCGTTGTCGTTGTTGTTGTTTTTGTTGTTGTTGTTGTATATCACGTTTATTGAAAATGATCTCGTTCAAGTTGACTGAATCATCCATTCACATTATCATTATGATGATGATGCTAATATTACCCGAATCATGAAATACAGTAACCAGATTCTTTAGAGATAAATTTACATTTTTTTTATTCATTCTCAAAAAAAAACATGAAAATTTTACTACAACGATTATGATGCTTTGGAATCAGATTTTTATTCTAGTCTGTGCGTGTTTTGCCCGCTGGATAATATATGCATATATGGCAGTGGATCGGGCGCCACTTTTCATTTTTTTTTGTTTCTTCTCTCTCTCTCTCTCTCTCTCTCTCTCTCTCTCTCTCTCTCTCTCTCTCTCTCTCTCTCTCTCTCTCTCTCTCTCTCTCTCTCTCTCTCTCTCTCTCTCTCTCTCTCTCTCTCTCTCTCTCTCTCTCTCTCTCTCTCTCTCTCTCTCTCTCTCTCTCTCTCTCTCTCTCTCTCTCTCTCTCTCTCTCTCTCTCTCTCTCTCTCTCTCTCTCTTTCTCTCTTTCTCTCTCTTCTCTCTCTCTCTCTCTCTCTCTCTCTCTCTCTCTCTCTCTCTCTCTCTCTCTCTCTCTCTCTCTCTCTCTCTCTCTCTCTCTCTCTCTCTCTCTCTCTCTCTCTCTTTCTGTAACAACAACATGATAATAGTAATAACAATAATAACGACAACGGCGAAAAAAAAAAAATGAAAAGAATTCCGATTCACTGCACTAATTCAACCTTTTTTTGTTTTGTTTTATTTTATTTTACATGAAAACGATTCATTCATGGATTCATCCATCAAGAATGTAGTGAGAATGCTTTGATCATGAGTCAGTAATAATAATAATAAAAAAAGAAGATTGACGCCACCAATCATAATAATATGAACATGATGATTCCATTCGACATTCCATTCATTTTCAATGTTGGAATTTTATGATTTTTTTTCTTTCGAGAAATTTTTGCTTTTTTTTTTTTTTGCCAGGGACCATGCATATAGCCAGGTCAACAACAATCATGATGGATCGATGGCGCTGATCTTTCAATGATGATGATGATGGTGTGTCTAGTGTTTTTGTAGCAAAAAAAAAACAAATCCCTGATGTATGTGAAAAAAAACGGACAATAATTTTGACGAGAATTTTTACACGGGTATTTTTGTTGTTGAATTTTGTAGTGAAAAAAAAATTTTCTTTCTCTCTCACTCATTTCACTTTCAACAAATGGAACATGGAGTTATCTCTCTCTCACGGGAGTCATTCTCATCTCATCAATTCATGCATTCTCACACACTCTTTCATGTGTGTTTGTTTGCACTTTCACTTTTCACAAACAACAACAACAACAACCAATTTGGATCCGTGTTTTTTTTCTTCTTCACATTTCACATTCATTCTGTTTTGGGAGAAAAGAATTTTTTTTTTTTTTTGATTCTAAAAAAAATACAAAATAAAAGTAAATCAAAACTTTGGCGCCTTGTTTTTTTTTTTTGTTTTGTTTCACATCATTCGATCATCATTGTATTATATCTACTATATCCGCATAACTAAAATGAATGCAAAATACGAAAAAAAAGTAGCTGCTCTAGAGTGTAATAATCACTCAATTTATTTTTGTTTTTCTTTTGGATATCAAACTCAAAAATGCAACTGTTGTATGCAACTGCCGATGAAAAACGAATAATAATGTGATGATGATGATGAGGAAAACAACAAATGGAAAATGCTAAATTTGCTTTTGATTACTATCTGGGGATATGATTTGACTTCCATGATGATGATCATTCACATCAACACCATCATCATCATCATCTTCTCTAGGGTTCTTTAAGACGCTTTTTAGTCTTATTCTTTGTTGTTGTTGTGGTGGATCAATGCACATACGTGAATTTGTCACGAGCAAAAAAAAAAAAAATTTTCCACCATACATGGTAAACGTTTTTTTGAATTTGTGAAAAAAAATTCAAGAAAGATTTTTCTTTTATCAATATAAATTGGGTAAATTTCATTTATTAACAGTGATATTTGATGTTTGCACTTTATTCGCACACACACACACACACACACACACATACACCGAGCATGTGTTTGTCATTAAAAAAAAAACTATCGTTTTCACATGTTTTTTTTTTTGGCGACGATAAAACAAAATCTCCACCCATATCTATATCTATCTATCAGTTTTAAAGTTTTGACAAACTGGCCAACAGCCAAACACACAATAACCAATGTGAAAGAATTTTTTTTTTCGTTTTATTAGCTTTTTACTACATTATATTGGCATTTATCCATCGAAAAAAAAACACATGAATGGTAATTCTACACTTGCTTACGTTGTTTATTTGGACATATTTGAAAAAAAAACAACAAAAAAATGGACATGGAAATTTTCAATTGAATTTTGTGTAATTACATAAGATGGTCCATAGTGTGTGTGTATGTGTTTGTTTATTGATAATCCTCTTCTTTTTTTTTTATTTGTGTCTGTTTTGTTTTGTTTTTGTTTTTGTCCATGATGATTATTAGTGATGATTCGACTTGTGTAGTACACACACACACTGTATGTGTCATAATAATAACAACAACAACATTGACAATAATACAGGACAATGGCTACCATAATAATAATAATAATAATGATAGCTTGTTGTATCGTCGTTCCATCTATATCTTTCATGATGATGGATCATAATATAAAAACAAAAATGTGGAGCATCTTGAAAGAGGATTATTGAAAGCCCAAATTGAGTTATGGCTGGCTGGCTGGCTAGTATTTTCTCTCTTTCTCTCTCACTTTTTCCCAGTTTATAATGTGCTCTTATATTCGCTGCTGCTGCTGCTGCTGCTGCTGTTAGGTTCCATTTCCATTTCCATTTTCAAACAACAAAGCCAATGAACGATATGAATGTGAATGTGTGTGTGTGTGTGTGTGTGTTTGTATTGATAATGAGATTTAAAGTGACTGGGGTATACCCGAATTTTTCGTTTCCCGATTTTTTTTTAGAGTCCATCTCTTTTTCTCTGATAAAAAGCCGATACAGCATAATATTTCTTTCTTTTTGGCTATTTGGCTATCACACACACACACATACACGCACAATATGATGTGCTCAGATGGCATTTCCGTTGCATTACATTTGGACAAGCTGCTGCTGCTGTTGATGCCCGTTGAGTTTTAGCAAGTGGACAGTCGAGCCACTCGATCCCTAAAACTGAAATGAGATTCCTACGAAAAAAAAAAAAAAACGAAATAGCCAACTAAATAAAATGAAAAAAAAGCTTTAACAGCTCCTGTACTACACTCCGAAATACAAATCCTTTGCACAAAATTGCAATCTCTAGTTTTGAGTTTTTTTTTTTTTTTTTTTTGGTCTGAATCATAAAAAAATACAAGAAATTTAATAAACTCAGGGTCGAAATCGAAATTAAATTTCAATTTTACATTTTGGATCGATAAAATGGTCGATCAATCAAGTTCTGTGTCCTGTGTCGTGTGTGTGTGCGTTCACGATGTGGACACTGGTTTCATTTTTCCTATTTTCAGTGTTTTTTTTTTATTTATTTGGTCACTAATAGAATTGGAGATTGGCATTGGTTTTTTTTTCTTCTTAGCCATGAATTATTTAATACACAAAACATCCAACTTGAAAAGTGAGGGAAAAAACATGAAAAAAAACCATTGGGATTGAATTTGAATCAAATTCAAAGTGTTTATTATGGAAAAAATCGTTCCAACAGCAGCCGCTGCTGATTGGAATCGAATATCCGTGTTGTTGTTGTTGTCACAAACTTTGTAATTTCAACTTTTATTTTAGTAAAGAAAAAAAACTGTGTGTCTGTGTTCCAGGCTAATGATGTTCCAATTTTTTTTTGAATTTTTTTTTCATTCCAAAAAAAAACAGGAAAAAGCTTCTCATTGACAATTACGGTTAGTACGAATCCACCGCAAGTTGGTACCTATACGAAAGCCATCAAAGTAACGGTGGATGGACCACGTGAACCACGAAGTAAATCAAGTAAGTTGAGTAGAGTAAACCAACTACTACTACCAAAGCATAAAGAATGTGTATTTCCCCTTCCTTTTTTTCCCCTTGCCACTGTTTTGTTTGTTTCGCCATTCCCTATCCATTTTTTATCGATCGATGCGAAAAAGTGCTCAATGTTTTTTCTAGATAGATAGATAGATAGAAAGATAGATAGATTAGATCAGAAGATGCCGTGTGTGACCTAAACCATATCATTGGTATATGATTGATTCATTCATGGATCCAATCCTCCCCGTTTTTTACATTTATGGACCGACCAAAAATCACATACAAACAGAAAAAACCGACCTAGGCAACATACACTCACACACGCATTTGGCTTGCCTTTTTACCCCGAATAAATTTAATTTTTTTTTTCTTTCGTTGGCCAACCAAACAGCTTTGTCGGCCACAATAGTAGATGGTATATAAAACACACACACACACACACACATGCAGAACAATGGTTACCAGAAAGAAACCTCCAAGTTTTTAATCCGGTATATACTGCTTTCACTATTCATTCATTCATTGGGTTTCCATTATTATTATTATTGGTGACCCTATGGTTTGTTTTCGGTCGGTCGGTTGGTTGGTTGGTTGGTTGGTTGTTTTCGGTCGGTCGGTCGATCGTTCGATCATATTGGCAGCGGCGGCGGCGGCAGCGGGTATTGTTGTCACCATTGATTTCCATTTGAGCTAGATAGATCATTTGATTGGTTGGTGTGTTCTATGTGTTTCATTGTCATAATAATAATGATCAATGAAAGTTGACAATTGTGAATTTGAACCGTCGTAGCTAGCGTAATGTTGTGTGTGTGTGATGAATGGCCCTGTTGTGACAAACAACATTGAACAACAACAACAACAAAAACAACAACAGAAACCAAGCAGTACTTTTGAGGCTTGTTTTTTTGGCTTACCATTGCGTGTGTTTGTGTGTTTGGGCTTGGATTTGGTGGAAAAAAAATTTTTGGTTTGATCGGCCTGTTTTTTTCTGGTCGTGGGTAGATAGGTTATTTTTTTTTTTTTTTTTTTGAAAGCATCATAATGCAAATGAGAAATGGCCGAGATTTTTTTTCATTTTTGATTTTCTTATTTGACCCCGTTGGCAACCCAAAGAATGGAATGAAAAGAAAAAGGCCAAACAATGGGCAAATCTTTTTGATCCATTGTTTGGCCCTGTGAATAATGGACGAGATTTTTTTTGACGTCTTTATATTATCAGCTCTCATACAGGTTGGTTGGTTGGTTAGTTGGATTCGATCCAAATGTCGCAAAATGTTGCTTTGGTTTACTTTTGGTGTTAGCTTGCGGTTGACGTATAGCAAATCACACAACACAACCAAACACCAATAAATAGCTTGTCATCAGACCGACCAAAGAAAGAAAGAAAAACGAAAATGCCAAATGCAAACAAACAAATGATCGTGAACCAAAGAAGTCAATACAACAATAACTTTTGCAATATGGACAATCATTACCATAATGAGTGATCAATGAATTTTCGGCAAAACAGTAGCACAAATATATCATTTTCCATTGTCCAGTCCAATTTATTTGGCTACTAAAAACACGCGCTATTCCATGACCAGTGGTCATGTCAAACGTTGAATGATTTGTCCAAATTGGCCAAAAAAAAAAAAAAAAATTATTCCAATTTGCCCAGAAGCCCATTTAGCTTTTTGTGTGTGTGTGTGTTGTGCACCGAAATTTCAATGAACCGTCTTGAAAGTTTGTTTCTTCTCTCTCTCTCTCTCTCTCTCTCGGTATGTGTGTGATTCAGTTCCAGATTCCAGTCATGCATCAGGAATCAGTGTTCACTGTTGCAGCAAAAATTTTTTTTTTTTTTTTTTGATACTAACTCAAATAGACATATATGCATTTGAAATTTAAATTTGATTCACTTACACTCACTCGATTTTTTTTTGCGTAACCAAGTTCATTCCGGATGCATACACAAGGATCATCATATCGATAATGGCATCTTATTATTATGTTTGGGGGTCTTTCCCTTACCATTTTTCGTTGTTGTTGTTGTTACCGTTCGTTACACACAATTCATTTAAAAAGGCAAACAATCAGAAATTCATGAGAAACCCAAAAGCATCCATATTGAGAACGTGTCGTTCGTATATATACAGATATATTCTTGAATGGTAAAAAAAAGTAAAGAATCAAGAATGCAGCAGCATATTACTGCTCGATTATTAGTCATAATGATAAGTTGGCCAAAAAAAAAATGAAAAAAAAATCATGACTACTAGGCGTCGGAATGGTGCCCTACCAATTTTTAATTAAATTTTTTTCCTCACTCTTTCTCTCTTTCAATTCCGTCCGCTTTATTGTCGTACATTGTAAGGAAAGTGGTAATATTTAATAATAATAAGGCCCTATGCGATATGAAGAGTCGAGAGTTTGTCAACACACAGACACAAAAAAAAATTTAGCGACAAATTCTAGAGTTTGTCACTTTTTTTTCTTACTCCTTGTCAAGTGGATGATGACGATGATGATTATTAATATTGACAAGCCGGGATCATCATCATCACCATTTGTTTTGTTATGTTGAAATAGAACAAAAAACAAAAAATAAAAATAAAAATCCTATTGACAGCCATTGACATCGCTATTGGTTGCTCATCCTTGATGTCAAATATATGAAAAACTAAAACTAAACTGACAATTAATGAGTATGCCCACCACCACCCTGGGTTCCAACAAAACAACAACGCCCGTCGAAACATTCACACACACACACACACACACTTGCATATATTGTCGTCGAAAAAGAGACTTATCATGATGATGATGGCATTGTATGAGCATCAGCAGCAGTAGCGACATATGCTTTCCATATTTTACGCTCGAATTCACGGTCGGTTGTATGGTTTGAAAAATGAAAAAAAAATACTTACAATTTCACCCGATTCAGGCCAGATTATCAAAACAATCGCTTTGAAAAAAAATCAAAAAGAATGCTTTCGCCATAATGATTTTAATTCAACCGTTTTTTCTGTTTGAGAGAGAGAGAGAGAGAGAGAAAGATAGAGGGGCAATAGAAAGTTTTTGGGGATATATTTTATTCGTTCAAAAATTATTATACCAATTGTGTGTGTGTGTGTGTGTTTCACATGAGAAGCCCTTGGTTGGTTTTTTTTCTGTCAATTTGAAATCATCATCATCATCATCATCATCATTGACGATTATTGCCGTAGCAAACCAGAACCAAATAGCAATTAAACGAAATAGATCCCAAACTTGGTTTTTCATTTATTCTCATCCAACCAACCAACCAACCAACCATCCACCAACCATCCAACCAATCGACCGTTATCGGGAAACAACACACACACGCACACACACAGAGAGAGAATAGATTGGTCGATTCCCGAAATAGAGAAAATGAAACCAGGGAATATAACTTGCACGCGTTTGGTCTGTCTTTTAAATGCGTGTTTTGTCTTCATTTTTCTCTATACCTAAGGCTACCATATTTTTCCATGCAAATTGTACGGACAATCCATTTATCAGTGTTTGTCAACCATATGGTCACCATAGAATACCATCAATACAAAATGATTACTGAAATTCCGGACATGTGGTAACCCTATGAATCCATTGAAAAAGTTTACACTTTACATTACACAGTTCTATTTATGGAATGGGTTACTATTTCAAAGTTTTTTTTTAAAAACCAAGTATCCCACCCATTTTTCCTCTGTCCATTTTATTATTGTTGTTGTTGTTTTTGTATATGCAAATGATGTCCACTAATTCAATTAGTTGAATAATAATAATAATAATTTTTTTCAACTACTTTCCCACCCACTCATTAGGTTTAATGAATCAATGTTGGCCATTTCCTAGTACACAACCAAATCATTTTCGTGCATTTGCCAATTCTTTTGTACATCATCCTCGTCATCCAATAGATCCTACTCGTTCTTGTCCAATAACACCGTTACCTTGTTCTACTGAATGGCGATTAGCCGCTCGTGTTCAAGCTGAACAATGGGTATTACAAGCTGCTGCTGCTGCGGCTGCTGATCTTTCACGACGTTTTCCACGACCACCATCATCAACATCGTCTTCGACGATCAACTCTTCTACGACGACCACAATCAGAACAACCAATACGGCAACGAGCACTACAACGTCCAGTTCAGCAGCAACACCAAACGATCCAACAGCAGCAGCGGCAGCAGCTAATAACCATCCTCTGTGGCCACCTTATTATCCACCAGCGGTAAATAGCCGGCCAGCAATCACCTATGGTCCAATGAACGAAGCTGATTCTCAGAACAAATCACCTTCATCAAATGGATTGAATGGCAACAAATGTCATGAATTGATGTCATTGGAATCAAGCAAGAATGTATCATGGAACAAACAGCCCCACCATGGCCACCATCAACAACAAGCCCAGCCACAGCAGCAATCGGATCAATCTTCTCGACATCACAAAGGTAAATGATGCTATATATGGCCCATATGGTACTGGCAATTTTTAGGTGATGATCATAGACGACATTCACTATTTGTTTGTCTATAATCGCATTAGTTTTTCTGTGCATAGAGAGAGAATTAGAGATGGCTATCTCCTTTGGTCTGCTCAATATTCATTCGAACAACAATAGGATCATCATATGAACCAAACCATCATTAGGGAGGATTTTCAAATTAGTTTTTTTAAGACGATTATAATCCATTGCCTGTGACTATCTTGTCATCGAATGAATAAATTAATGAATGTATGCCAATTGTACCTTAATAATACTCTTTCTGTTTTGTTTTCTATTTTTGCACGACACAGAAGTATCCAAGTCAATGACAAGTCCAAAAAATGTGGCCAAACTGATTGAACGCAATGGTACAAACAACAATAACAACAACAACAACAGCAAATTGGTCAATGGATCCATGGAAAATCTGCTGGCACATGCATCTAATCCTCGTCCATTTCCGTCGGCAACACATCCACCAGATCAATTGGTGGCCACATCTTTCATGCAAAATAATCATCAATTGGCTGCAGCGGCGGCTGTATTTCTTCAATCGGCTACATCGGCGGCAGTACCATTTTATCATCCACCAACTTTACCAGCTGCTACTGTTGGCAGATCATCGATCACATCAGCGGCCAATGGCCATTTTAATTGTGGATCAATCGATCAGTTTCAACAAACACCACCAGCACCAATACCGACAGCAATTCCGAACTTACCATCGAATTTGAGCGCATTTTTTCTGCCAAAATCTCGTGAAGATGATAGTGAACTAGAAGAAATCAATGTTGAAGATGATGATGAATTAAGCCATAGCCAAAGCAAACGATCACGTGATGAAGAGGAAGAAGAAGAGATGGAAAATGAAATCGATGCTCAAAAAGATCTCAAAGAAAAGAACAAAGAAGATAAATCTGCCACCAATTCACCATCGATTGAAGTAGAAAAAAATATCGATGAACAAGACGATGAAAATGTCCATTCTTTATTTACCGCCGATAATAACAGTGGTACGGCAAGAGTCATATCCGATAACGATAGTTTAGACAGTTCAAGTAGCCAACAAAATCAACAGCAGCAACAACAACAACAACAACAATCATCAAAGTTATCATTATCGCATGTAAACAAAAAAATTCGTATAGAAGTTACGCAACCAAATTCATCATCAGATAACGTGAAATATGAATCATTAAGTCCTGTTTCTGTTGCATCACCCGGATCATCATCATCATCATCATCATCATCATCACCATCATCATCTACATCGAATCATTCAAATATATCCTGGGCAAATGCTAGCTCTAAATCATCCAATGGATTTTGGCGTCCATATTAACAAACAAACAACAACAAAAAAAAACCTAGAGAAAGAATAAAAGGCCAAAGCTGGAATCCAAATTGCAATCGCTAAAAAAACTTAAGGGTATGATGTGATGATGTGCCCGAAGCCAAACAAGAGTGAATGAATGAAACACAAAAAAAATTTTTTTTTTATTTCAAAAATAAACACAAGAACAACAACAATCCATGCGTGTGTGTATATGTGTATTGTGTATCTGTGTTTTTTATTTGATTAATCATTTGAAATGAATATAAATAAAATAAATAAGTTTTGTTTTCTTTTTATTTAAAAAAAAACAAAAATCTATTTTTGTCAATCTGTAAGATTGAAAATGGCTTCAAAACAACGACAAAAAAAACAACGAAAACAACGCATGAAATTCATCTCTTTGCATTAATTTTTTCGTTTGGAGAAAACAAAATGACAATCATCACCGATGGCAACACAGAAATTTTTTTTTTTTTTTTGCATAGACGATCTCATCAAATTACAACACATCCATTAAAGAGAGCACAAAGAGAGAAAGAGAGAGAGAAAGTGTTTTTAAACAACAATTTGGTCATGATGTTTACTACTATTATCAATGTGAATGATGATGATATTTATTTGTCACTTTCTCTCTCACTTTTTATAATAGCACAAGTAATCATCATCATCATCATTTCAAACTTTCAATTCTATATTTTGCTTTGTTTCTGTCTTATTCTGATGATTATCATTGCAATCGAGGGATTCTTTGTTGATTGTTGTTGTTGTTGTTGTCGTTGTCGTCGAATATTCCATTATATGATTCGGGTATAAACGGGTTTGGTTGTTGTTGTTGTTGTTGTTGTTTTGTTGTCGCATGTTTGTTTGTTTATGATGAGTTTAATTAAAAGCTCAAACACACACAAGCACAAATGGATGTGATGCCAGAATTTTTCGTTGTTTTTTGTTTTTGAATCTGAATCAGATTGAATTGGCGCTACTGTTAATTATAATAGGCAGCTCATTTCCTTTTTTTTGTTGATGTGTGAAAATAATTCCATAATTCTCTTCTCTTCTCTTCATCTACGACATCGTTCATTTGGAATCCTTTTTTTTTTTTTTTTGTTTCACTCCATTCACCATTATCACATTCAGAATAAATAATGTGATGACAGATTTTTTTTTTTTTTTTTTTAATTAGAAATCCGGACTCTCATCATCCAGAATATTTTCTTTCGAGTGTTTTGTGTGTGTGTATGCGTGAGTTTGACAATCGCTCATTGTTCTAATCCAAGGCAAACATTACAATGTGAACGTGAAAGATCAATCGATTAAAAGAGAAAAAGAGAGAGCGAGAGATGGAAAAAAAATGTCGCGCGTTTTTTGTTGTTGTTGTTTTTGTTGTTGTTGTTGTTTCTTTCCAGTAAAGCTTAAAGTAGATGATGATGATTGGTCGTTTTGTGTCAATAATCATTGACTCAGAGACGAAAAACAATGACAAACCGAACGAGCAAACGAACGAAACTGAAAACAAAAATTGATTAACAACAAACTATTACAATCCAGGTAGGTACACTTTTTTTTTTTGTTTAGCTTGTGTTCTACAAGATTGTTTTTGTTTTCTCCTGTACGATGCTATTTATCTTCTTTATATATTTGTTGGTGGTGGTGGTGATGGTGTTGTCCTTCACCATCGATTGACAAGAAAAAAAACCATGTTTGATCGTAATCACAACATAATTTGGTTGTTTTTCATCTATGTATATATGTTATGACCCTGATCACCCAAATGACGACGACGACGACAATTTGTAAGTGAAAAGGACAATTACAATTACACACACACACACCGGCAATTGTCACCGTTATTTTTCACAGAATGACAATTAATCACTCACTCAAACAACAACAACAACTACCATTTTACTTGGTCCACATTATTTTCCAAGTGAAAAAAAAAACACACACACACTGCATTCAAAATAATGTATTTCAGAAATTTTTTTTTCATCACTTGTAAAATGACAAATATATCGCCATCTAATGGTGGATATTTGTGTTATTTTTTTTTACTTTTCGGTTCATATTTTTTTTTCTTTCTCTCTTTTTGGCATCTACGATCATCATTGATCATTTCCTATCAAATGTTTGATTTCCATAGTCAGATAAAATTGGACGACATCATGGTATTGACAAACAAAAAAATTTCTTTCATACTACATTAGACTGTGTGAAAATTTGAATTTTTTTTTTGCACTGTACAAAATGTTTGATATATTTAGTACATCACTCAACAACGATGCTTTCATTGTATTGCCTGATTGATTGATTGATTAGATAATTGATCTGTATTGATTGATAAATGGGGCTAATATTATATTATTATATATGGCAATCACAAGACACTTGTGGTTGAATCGAAAATAACAATTTTTTTGTTATTTGCATTACACTGCATATAAATCGATCAATCGACAGACATTGAAACTAAACATCAAAAATGGAATCATCAAGCTACCGATTTTTATTTATGGAATTGAATCCTAGCTATTGGCTAGGTAATTCCATTCTTATAACAGTCATATCGATACCATTCTTTTATTACATGTGAGTATACCAAAAAAAAACTGTGTTCTTGTGTGTTGTACAAAAAAAAAATTACCACATTTTTCTTGATTAGCTATTCACGATATCGATTTGGCTATTGGAAACGGCAAGGTATTCCTGGCCCAAAACCGACACCAATTATTGGAAATATGTTTTCATTGTCTAAACCGCAACCTTTGATGCAATTGGAATTTCAGAAACAATTTGGCGAAATTTATGGGTAACGTTATTCTTTATATGAATGAATCAATCAATTTTAATTGATTGTCTGATTCTGTATAGAATTTATCGTGGACTTGAACCAGCACTTGTTGTGGCTGATCCGGCAATTATCAAACGTATTCTTGTTCAGGACTTTCATCTATTTCGTAATCGTAATGCACCTATTAAATCAAGCAATATAGCTTCCCAGAATCTAGCTTCTGCTTGTGATGATAATTGGAAACGAATTCGATCGATTTTGTCACCAATGTTTACTACATCCAAATTACGTAAAATGGAAGGCCTAATGTCTCAATGTATTGAATCACTTGTGAATGCATTAGATCGGCTTGTCGATCAGAAAAAATCATTCAAGGTACATGATGTAATGGGTAACTTCACAATGGACGTGATTGCCAAATGTGCATTTGCTACGGAAACCAATGCCCACCATGATAAGGATAATCAATTTGTCAAAAATGCCCGTTCCATATTCGAATTGAATATTGTTGCTGGTTTGTCGCGTTTTTTATTGCCACAGTGGCTGCAAGATTTTTTACGGAATATTCGTGCTCCATTCTTCAGGAATGATTCTTCAAGATTTTTCAATGATATCTCTTATCATTTGATTCGTCAACGACGTAACAATCCTGATCTTAAATTTGATGATATGCTTCAGTTGATGGTGAAAGCCGAACATAAAACTGGACAGTTTAGCGACGAAGAAGACAAGTTTGATTCACATCACGTCAATGTGGGTAAGTGGTAACAACGACATTTAACATTGTGTTTATACGGATTATCAGTGAATGTTCTTTTGTATCCAAATAGGTGAAGAAGAAAAACGACAAGAAGAAATGATTCTCAAAGACATTATTGGTTCCAAATATCTAAGTGAAGAAGAAATTGTGGCACAATGTTTTGTTTTCTTTTTGGCCGGTTATGAAACGACTGCTTCAACCCTAACATTCTGTTTGTATGAATTGGCAAAATATCCAGAAATACAGGACAAACTCTATGAAGAAGTACGTGCTGTATTGGATAAAGGCGAAAAACTGGATTACGAACACGTTATGCGAATGCCATACATTGATGCTGTTATCTCCGAAACACTTCGACATCATTCACCGGCTGTAGCACTCACACGAATTGCTGCTGAACCTTATCATATACCGGAATGTAATTATACGTTGAAAAAAGGAGGAATGGTCCGTATTCCGGTATACGCTATCCATCATAATCCGAAATACTATCCCGAACCTGATCGCTACAATCCAGAACGTTTTATGCCCGAAAATCGTCACAAAATTGTACCATATACATATTTACCGTTTGGTGGTGGGCCCAGAAATTGTATTGGAATGCGATTCGCTTTGTCCGAAGCAAAATTAGGTCTAGCACGAATAATTAGTCAATTTTCATTCTTTAAAACACCAGAAACTCCAAATGAACTTCGTATAGAGAATAGTTTTGTGCTGATGAAAACGGTTCCTGTCTATGTAGGTGTACGTAGACGTAATTAATTGATTAAAAAATGAAAAATTGATTGATGTTTTTGTTTTTTTTTGTCTGAAAAAAAAGTCTTGAATAATAAAATGTTTGTCATATTGAATCATTATCGATTGCACACTCAAAGTGAAAAGATGATGATAAAAACTCCAAGCAATACAATACGTGTATTACAACTTGAAAAATGATGATGATGAGTTTTTTTTTTTTTCAATTTTCTTTTCGGTCATGAAATGAGTGATTTTCAATACTGTAGAAATTGTTGTGTTTTTTCTTTTTCGCTAAAAAAAGCTGTGATTTTTTTTCAACAAATTTTTTTTCCATTGTTTGATAATTGACACCGGTAAGAGTCTATTGTTTTTTTCTCCTGCGTTTTAATTGAAACAAAATATCTCTATTCTCGTTTATTTACAGTTGGTTACCGGCTTGCAACAACAAAAAATTTTCTTGACTTTCGTTTCGTAATTTTTTTTTTTTGCAACTTTAACTTGACATCCACCGACACACACACACACTAATGTAAAGCTTCCTCATTCTTGAGCTAGTTATAATATAGGTAAACTCGATTGATGCTATTCGAGAAGCTACCGACGACGATGATGATGATGATGATGATGATGACCTAGCCGAACTATCGATATACAGCCACACGATATTATCGATGATAAACATGATGAATAAATGAATGTGACTACTAGAGCTGGACTGGTTGTCCAGGCAATCACGGTCAACTTTAGTATGAGAACAGTCGCCGGATAACCTAATCAATTTGAGCAGGTTGAACATCATCATCGAGTATTTTTGTTAAATTTTGTTCGACTTGTCCCTCTCAACATGATGATTGATTGGCCCCGACACAACACAGACAAACAAACAAACAAAACAGGTCGGTCTTTTTCTGAATGACCATTGTGAGCATTATGGTGAACCCATTTCGGACAATGCCACGATTAAGGTCGATTTCGAGCAACGAACCGAAAACTAAATCTGATTGGCGCTATATCGATCGGTTGGCCCATTTATAGCAGTCGAACGTATCGAATTTGTGTCAATGATAGCCATCATTGTACTACTATTGATGGCCGGCATCCGGTCATTCGTCCATCGACCTTTTTATAAACTGAATCTAGAAGATTTTCGTCTTAGCTGATTGAGCAAGCATAATGTGGCTCATTTCCATTGTTCGAGGGCCAATTACCTGAAACAATTGATGATTGGATTGTTCATCGAAATCGAATGGCCTCAGGTTAATTGCTTTCTATAATTGCCGTGATTGGCCCCAAAAACAACCAATTGTGGCTACCGGATCATGTGAAGCGGAAAATTGTTCATCATCCGATGTGATAAACAGCTAGCCAGGCTTTGTCCGATCCGATTAGATCGATTCGTCCAGAGCAATCAACGATGCCTTCTTTTCAGCCAAAAAACATTTGTGCCAAGCACAGTGCTCTCTGGTCGATTGCTGGTCGAACCAAACCTGAAGCCAAAAACTGGATTCTCCAACTACCATTTGATACCAATGACCAGTACTCTACCACTCAACTTTAGAAAGAGAGAAAGAGAAGCAAGGACATTATGTGTATGTGTGTATGTGAGAGAGAGAGAGGGAGCGAAGATTGTGAAAAAAGATTGGTTAGTGATCTAAGATTGTAGAATAAAGAGAGAGAGAATCGAGAAAATTAAAAAAGCACTAGCACTTATCAAAGTTGAAATCGATGGCCATCGAACATCAGTCGCCACCATTGTTTGTTCAGATTATTTGCAAGAAGTAACCAACCGTATCGTAACACACACAAAAAAAAACCATAACACTTGCTATACGTGCGCGTGTGGTTAATTCCAAAAGCTTGAAAAAAATTTCAAATTCTGACCGTCATTTTGGGCCATTGGGCACAGGCACCAAATCAACCCAATCATCAACTTTGCTGCGATTGCATATGTGTGTGTGTGTGTGTGTATGTGAGCGTGTGTAACACTAGCGGGCTTATGAAATTTCATATTGGTGTAACCATAGTGTTCATCATAGTGTTCTCTTCTCCACTCTCTCTCTCTCTCTCTCGCTCTTTGTATGTGTGTGTGTTTCCGTTATTGATGAAAGTTACCATTGATGAAAAGGATCGATCTGATAATAACGAAAAAAAAAATCTGAGCTACCAACCAATCGACTGGACATTGAATGACCTGTGCTCGACACGACAACAGCCATCAAAATAGAAGACCAATAAAATCGAAAATCAGTTTGTTCGTTCGTTCTCAATTTGTAGATCGATTCGATTCATTTGCCCTTGCCAAAAATGGTAAACATATATTTGGCCCATTTGGCACAATCACATTGAATTAGGTTTCTCATGGAGAAGATGTCTTTTTTATTTTTCTATATTAGAAACAGATGCATTCAATGGTGATGGCCACCCTGATAGCTGTCGCTATCATTACGCTGACCACAGATCATATTAGTGCTGATCAATTTGTTCGTAATAAACGTGGCCTTTCTGATTTCTTCAAACGATTCTGGAATATTCGCAAAAAAGTCAATTACGTAAGATTCTGTTCTGTTCCTTTTGTCTTTTGTCTGTGTTTAATCCATCCTTTTTTCTGTCCTGTTGCTTTTGTTGTTGTTGTTGTTGAATAGATGCCATATCAGCAACAATCGTCTATATATCCTAATTCTATGAATCAGGACTACGTGTTGCCTCAAGCCTCTAACTATTATCCAATCTATCAGCTTAGCCAATCAGGAAATCAGTATGGCCAATATGAACCCCAAATGTACGGTGAGTCTTCTTCGGTGAACAATGCAAATCAGATAGACTACCAGGAATATCCGTTGCGTCAGCCAACGAACAATTACTATCCATCTTCATCGAATCAATATCAACATCAACATCAGCCTGATTATCAGAGAGGCAATCCGAATAACAATGGCTATCAAAATTCGCAGGCTATTCAGCCAGATGAATCGGTTCAAAAGGCTAGCTACTATTATCCGAACCAAGGTGGTCAAATCGGTACATCGCCTTACACATTCCACGCGAATCCTAGCCAGGCGAACACGTTCAACAGTAAACCGTACGGTAATCAGCCAGGTACGCTGGATGTGCATCAAGTTCTTGATCAGTTTATTCGCTCAGCTGGTCTCAGTCCTCATGGCGACCACGAGAATGCCAACAAAGATCGAGCATACAATGATGACCAAGCACTCTCTGTCAAAAAGTTATACTCATATCCGTTTTATTTTTCTTCATCCGGTGATCGACCTTATACGATTCGGTGAGCCTTTTGTTGTTGTTTTTCATTGAACTAATCAATCAATCAATCTTTCTTTGATAAGTCGACAATCAATGGACGAAGATGAACAGCCAATGGATACCGTTCAACGGGTGGTGAGTAAACCGGCAGTCAAAATGGAACCCGTTAGTAGTAAAAAAAACCAAGCTGTCCAAACTCTTACGGTCAATGATGTGATGGCTGATATAGTGCTCGATGATGAAAGATCGTTTATAGCAAAAAATGCAGCTGCTTTACAGGATTTCTTGGCCAACAAACGAACACCACAGAATACCAGCACTAGCACTAGTGATGCAAAGGCCGATAATTAGAGATGAAACACAAATCAATGTGTGATGGTAATGGGAGATGGCTCAACAAGGCAACAACACCAAACGCAGCTGATTCGAAATTCTGACCACTAAATTATTCACATTCAATGTTGCACTATTTTGTTGTTCGATTCGATTCTCATCATAAATATGGAACTCACACTCTAAACAAGAAACACACACAAAACACAGCAACCAGTATTTTTTTTTTATTCATGCTACAATCATCATAGATTTTACAACAACAAGACATGACCAAATGATGTTAGGTTACAACAAACAAACAATCAACAAATTTCCTCGTATTTTATATATTCAAATTTTGTTTAATAAAAAAAAAATTTCACGTAAAAAAAATTTAAGCCCGGTTCAATCGACAGATGGCATTGGGAACAACATATATCTAATATTTACCAAGTTTTTCTCTCTCAACTTTGTATTCATCATTATCGACGATCGATTAGTATTGTATTTCTATTTCGATTTTGATATCTCCATATGGTTAATGAATGTCAGATGATTTAAACTATACAGTGGTCGGTCATATCAATCATGTCTTGATCAATGAATCAATCAATGATTATTAATGAATTTCATTCGCCAATGATGACGTATATTGTACAACAACAAAAAAAAACAGGATGTTGCGCGAACAGATTTGGCCATTTGGAAATAAATACACAACTATTCTCAGATTTGAGTTGAAAATTACTATCAGCAATATTACGCGATCAATTTCACAATTGTCGTGGTGGTGGTGGTGGTGGTGGTGGCAACTAAATAGAGGTAACTCTCTGAATCAGAATACGAATCAATTGGCGTTGGAACTGACGTCTGTCTATTTGGCGTGTTTGCGTGAGTAAATTCTGGCGACACGTCAGCCAATCGGCAAATTGTATAAATACAATGGCGTGTATATCTTGCTATATAGATCATAGTGCAAGCCTAGGCCCATCAGATCAGTCATCCAATTCATTCATTCATCCATTTATCTATCTGACGTCCTTATTCGAGTTTTGTGTGGACACATTGCAGAGAAACATTTCATCGTCCGTACTGTGGTAAGTACCAAGTTTTATAATGATCATGACCATCTGATTCTCAGTAAATCTGTAATTCACACCAGGATCCATTGATGCAATCGTCTGATGACCAATATTCCATGATCGGTAAAAAACAATCGTCACAACCGATTTCCAAATCGACAATGACAGCCGAACCTTTATCGCCACAATGTTCACCGATTCAACAGAATGATGAACATGACCTTTATGCTCAATTTGATCAATTGGCCAGTAGTCGACAAACAAAACACGAAGACAATGGTTCTGTTCTTTGTCGTGAACGCATCAAATCATTTATTGAATTCGACGATGACCCTGCAGATTTTGATGACACAGAACCAGCTGAACGGTCCAGTAATTCGTCTGAAAGGCGACGATCGACAAAGAGCACTACGTCCGAATACTACAAGGATGATCTAATCAATGTGTTTCATGGTAAACAACAAAGCTCTGAATCAGAGATGATTGAAGGGGAAGAAGACGAAGAAGATGACGTGTCCGAAACAGAATCAAACGTTTTATACGGACGACTTAATCAGATGGAACACGAACAAGAATTGCTTAACAACTCATTAGTCGCTCTTACCTCGCACTTTGCCCAGGTACAGCTTCGGCTTAGACAAATTGTCGAAGCCAAAGACATCGACGCCAAGAAACGAGAGACGCTTCTGGCCGAGCTTGAGACATTCGCAAATCGTGGAATTCCCGAACTTATGCTTTGCACAAATCCGGCATTAGCGATTGAAGGTGGCACAAGCCTTCAACGATCGGTGTCGATGGCCACAAGTCTGATGGCCGATGATGTTTTCGAAGACGAAGATAACGATGGCCCGATTTACGAAGGCGATGATCATAAACGCGACGATTCTATAAGCCGTGATTACCATGCCCGAAGCAGTTGGAGCTGTTCACAACCAGCAGCTGATTATGCTGATTCTGTACATAGCGGCATGACCATTACATCAACAACTACCGATAGAACGAATAAGTTGCATCACTCGAGTACAATGCTAATTACAGAAGAGAAACTAGAACGACAACGTAGCCGCCAGAAAGAGCTAATTAGCCAGCTAAAAGATCAGTTGGAAGACTTGGAACGATATGCATACGAAACGGGAGAACTAAATTCATTACCAAACTCAATGCTTTTAGAACGACAGAATGCCATCATAGAACAGCTGAAATCCAAATTGCCCATTTTATCTATCGATGAAATTGATCAACTAACACCTGAACAACTTCGTCGTAAAGTCGACCAGGCTGTCAAGGAGGTAAGCATCCTTATAATTCTAGCTAGTCAACCAACCTGACTTATATCATACCATTTTTTTCTTTTTTGTTTGTTTTTAGCTTGTCAATCCTGTCATAATGAAAGAACAGCTTGTATCTCAGCTGAAAACCCAGGTAACAGATCTGGAAAGATTCATACAGTTTCTGCAACAAGGTGAGTGTCATAACCTAGTTATGTTTTTATCATCAACTTATTTACATTTGAAATTTGCAATTTAGGCGGCAGTAAAATGCATTACAAACAGCTGTACGAACAACAACAACAACAAGCCAATGGCAATATGCCATTCTCATCATCATCTTCATCGTCGTATCTGATGAAATTTTTATCCAAAAATCGATCTACGGGTAACGAAGCTTTAGATAAACAACGAAATCATAACAGCAACGGGAATCGTTCGAAAACGAAATCCAGAACAAAGCAACGAGGTCATAACAACGAGCACACTGAAACGGCTGCCAATATTTTCAAAAGAATTTTATCACTTTTACATGTCTTTGCTTGGACACAGATGGGAACCTGTTCGAACTTTAGTGAGTAACGGCGCTTAATGTCAATATTAAATGTGATCCTCATCATTTCATATCTTTTTTTCCGCTATAGCCCGTTATCATCAAGACAACAGAATCCCATTTGAACAAAATGTACTTAAAAGAACTACTGCTTCGTGTGCTCGACATTGGGGTGATTTACGTGCACAACTAGAAATAGCCATTACGTCTATATTGGATTTTTACAAAGAACAGAATATGAATTGCACAACAATATCGACGAACAATGCGTCAGAAGAATCTGCCAATTTTATTTCATTAGGCAATACGACATTGGTCATCGATAATTATTTTGCTTACGAACAAGTTACGATTATGGTACGTAAGGGTCTGGCCATCGCTCTTCGTAATCTTATCCATCATGGCCTTATTGGCCATTGTAACTGGAATGATTCTACCGATGCAAATGGATCACTGTCGTTAACCAGTTCAACTATGGCCACTACAGGCACTGCCACCACTATTGGCCAATTGATCAGCATGGGAATGGGTTGTTTCAGTTCCAAAACGTCACCTACGCTTATGAGTAAAACACGACCGATGCATGTATGGCAGCTGATTATTTATTACTACGAACTCAAGGTCAGTTTCCGTCTGCTACTAGTTTCCATCCATTGATTGACTGACAATGTATTTCTGTTCATGTAGAATGGCAGCAAATTCCGATCGACACCAAATAGACGATTATCGCAATCATTCGGCTTGCAGTCGGTGACCGGACATCAAACTAGTCCAAAACATAGTCTGCTTGCAGCAATTGATGATATCAACGATTCTCATACTCGTTTCAAGCGTAACATGGATTCTCATTTCAAAGTGTTTATCTGTCGTGGCCTCAAGTAAGTGAAAAAGACAACGTTCTCACTTGATTAAATTTTTTTTTTTCAATTTAGTCAACAGATGCTGTCTCAATGGTTGAGACTTATTCTAAGAAATCCAACAATTGTGAATGAATGTTACGAAAAATGGTCATATACTGCATCTACTGGATTCGAAGATGCACTTCGGCAATTGGATCGATTATCCAATCTTCGGTTCTGTTTACCAACCGATTTGGCCGTACGACAATTGCAAAGTATCCATGATGCATTCTGAACGATTTTTTCATTCGTTCAGTAATCACGAATCACAATTGCCACAACGTCACGCATTAGCTGCCGGTTCATTGCTATAAATTATATTGAATTGCATCGATTGATGATCGTGCCATGAAACAAAAATTCGTCACGTTTCAATTCGTGATACCAGCTATTTAAGACTGACATCTCTCATCATTTTGGTTATTCATTCGATTCAATATACCAGCCATCGACAACATGAACGGACACATTTTCTACATTTTCCCAATCGTTATCGTTATCGGTGTCCTGCTTACGCTTGACATGGCCATCGGTCAACCCAATCGTAATCAGATTGAAAATTTTGCCAATCTAGCCGAAAAGATATCTGATCGACAACACACCAAGTATTGTGAACGTTTTGGTAATCTTTTGAGTGAAAAATCGGAAATTATCTGGCCACAGGTGAATAGCCGTTGCATTGAACGAATGGTACGTGATGGAGCCGAATTACCATCCAATTTTCCAAAGATCGATGCTGATATGCGGAAAAAAATTGTAACAATATTCGAACGATGTGGACCAATCGTACATAATCCATGCATACCACAAGAATGGGTAGCCATCAAACATTGTATTCGTGATCAGGCATTCAACACTAAATTGTTGGAATTAAATGGACAGCCCCATTTGCCAAAGAATGTACCATCAATCAGTCTTGGTTTGGCAACTGCAGTTCTCGAATGTACAGATAAAGTGGTCAAAGAAATCTGAGCTTTATATATTATTTTAAAGCACCATCATCATTATCATAATCATCATACTAATTTGTTTACAAAGATGTTACATGTTAACAAATCAATCAAATCAAAAGCCAATAATCCATTTGTTTGTTTTAGATCTGGGCAATCCGTTGTCTAGCCTGTGCGTATTCACTGAAATCCAGATATCCATCTCTGTTACGATCTTCTTGTTCAAGAAGTCGATCAATTGCCTCTGTTAAATCATAGAAATAAAAGAAAAAGTTTATACTTTGCAAAAATACATTATGGTCTAAAATTTTTTGTTGTTTTTAAATAAATTCTGTATTTGATCATCTGTTGTCATTGTTTTTATTGACTTACTTGCACACAAATTCATCCATTGTTCGTTGTTGTTTTATTCGATTCATGGCCAGTGCTTCGTTCATTGATAAACATGGCCAACAATTCAAGTCCATCGATTCGGTCGTTATTATCATAATCGTGTGCTTTGAAATTGAAAAATTCTGGTTTTATTCCAAGCGTACTAGCCAATTTTGATAGATCATCTTTATCATCGTTTGAGCCACGTAGATAGCCAAAATGATGTTGTAATTCATGATCATCATCCGGTTCACCAAACACCCAATCGAATACATTGTCCAGAATGTTGTTGTTTGGATCATTACTACCGTCGTTGGCCAATTTTTTATTATTACCAGTTTCGTGACATTTAGCCACTGTAAACATTAAAATTAACAACAACAACAGCATCGATCGAAACATGATGACATCAGACGATAAAATAACCACAGCTACTACCATTGGTTGTATGGTATCAATGTTTGAATGTTTAAGCATATTCATTATATTGGTGGACTTTGTTCCAGATTCAAACATTAAACGATAAGATCAAATGAAAAATGATCAGACCATCACAAATTTCGAGTGATAACAATTTTTATTCAATGTGTACATTGTGTTTATTGAATCGGTATGGTTTTTTTCGAAGAAAATAAACTTTATTAGACTTTTTATAGTATAAAAAGCAATGACTATAATCATATAATCAATACAATGATAAAAAATGATAACAAATGAGTGGATGGATGGTTCATGTTCATATTCATTTTTAGGGATGCTATCTTCTTCTTCTGGTTATACGTTTCGACGTTCAAAAATTTGTGGCTTATACTTTTGTAGCATATGTTTAGTGATAATATGAGTACTTGCATTTGGCTCATTGGCCTGATCATGTCGTTCTTCGTTTCCGTTGCTTAGCGTTATTGTTTCCGTTTGTGTGGATGTCTGAATGACCAACAATGTACCAGCTTGCTGGCCATGTTTCAGTGTTTCCATGATCTGCGCTCGATCAAGACTGATAAGCCGATTTGAATCAGTCTCAGTGGTAGTTTGCGGCAAATTCTTATCCGAAATTTGTATTTCCTGTTCTGGTGCACGTTGTACAATTTTATCCGGTCCAGCGTTGAATGAAGGTTTGATACGTAACAGGTTCAATTCGATTTGATTTTTAATTCGTTGTTGCCGTCGACGGACACGGTAACGATTCATGTAGTGAAGAAAGGTCTTTCCGAACATAATAAACGGGTTGATGGCAGCGTTGACCGTTAGTAAGATTTGGCTGAAGAATTTGATTGGATCATACCAGCTGGGCAATTGCTGTTCGAATCAAACGAATCAGTCATGGATGGTACACTAATGGTTGATGAAAGCGTACCGATTTAGGAGGCCGGAAAGCCCGGTAGTAAACAAGCACCTGAAGTGGCAGCCAACAGAACAGAGTGACCAAACAGTAAACAAACATGGTCTTGATAAGGGCTTTCTTATGTTTGTTGGCAGTCAATTTGTGTTCGACAAATTGGCGACGGCTCTTCTGGATCGTATCAACGGCATTCGCATCAGGCGTCTAGACATTAATCATAGGTCAGTCTAACTATTTTGTATTATGATGTTTACCTGGTGGTGGATATCCATATTGTTCTCATCGTCGGATAGCAGTTGTTCGTTGCCAAATTGATTCAGGCCAAAGGCAAGGGAGTTTGTTCGAAAACTATCCAACATCGTTGAATGATCTGTTCGGTGTTGGAGCAATTGGTCGATGAATCGGTTGATGCGGTAAATCATTAGCGAATATACCACTATCATAATCATCAACGGTACATAGATCAAGGGAGTCATAAGAAAAACCCAATAATTGACTGAGGCATGAAGCGGTTCGTCGTTGCACCATTTCTGTTTGAAAAAGAAAAGTAAAATTTTAATTTGGTTCGTTAATGATATCGGTTAAAACAACCAACTTCTTGATAGTCTTTCCACTGACGTTCGTGATAAACACGCATATGAGCTAAAGGATAGGCCAACGATGTTGATACAATCCAGATGGTTACAATGAGAAGTAGCGATCGATGGTTCGAACGATCACTTGGATTCGTGATACAGCTGATAGTGATGAAACGTTTGAATGAGATAGCCATGATGGAAAAGTTGCTGGCCAGAATGCAAGTAACTAAACAGGCATAAAGCAAATGACTCAATAGATCAAATCGATCGATTCTGGTAACACTTACCTTTGATCAGAATTTCAAAGCTACACATTAGCGGCCCAAGTTCATAATTCTGGAAAATATTCTCAATCAGCGATACGGCCGGAATGAACAGAACTGTTAGAAAGTCAGCCATTGCCAGATTTACGATAAACAGATTGAGTGATCGCTGTCGAATTTGTGGTCGTTTCAACACGAGAACCATAACGGCTATGTTGCTTACCAGGCCAACCAAAGTAATCGTAGTCATCAGGGTGGATTTCCAAAGGATTTCCGGCCAAGGTTTATGGCCCCAAATCTGATGGAACTCACTAAAGTTGTATTTTGAACAATTAAAAAAGTCGTCGTCACAATATACTACTCTCATCATTATCGTTGTTTACCTGTCATATGGATACTTAAAAAGTTAATACACAACACCTCAATCACAATCGATCGTACGATCGTAATTGAGTAGCAATCCGCTAACTCGATCAATCTCCACATTACCAGGTAACATTATCAATGCTGGACCAATGAATCTAATGTCTAGTTGGGATTCTTTTTCCATTGTCTGTCTGTCCGTCCATCAATCCATTACTCTGTCCTTGTAAAACGCTTGTTTTCGTTAGAAAGACAAACATTGGTTGTAGTTATCATTGTCGAAGACTACCGATTGCAAAAATCGTGATAACGAACCAATAATGATCAGGCCATAATTAGATTGTTGTTATTGGTTGCAATAATCGTGGTGGCCATATCAGCAACATAGCAAAAAAAAAATTTGTTCCACTGCTTTGGCACTGGTGTGTTGTGATTAGGATCGTATCATCTTCATTAAATTTATATTTCAATAAATATGTGGATTGACCTGATTGTATCTAAAGTTGGGTGACACTGTGTGTGTGTGTGTGGTTTTGAAAAGTACGCCCATGATCCAAAAGTAAAAGCATTCACCAATCACATGAATGAAATTGATATGAAGCAAACGAACGAACTATTCGAATGTTTTGTTGATGATATTTAGATGATGATTAGCTTGATGAGTATAAAAAGCGAAGAAAATTCGCCTATCCAAGATATAATATTGAACATCGCCATAAACATCTTGAATTTTGTATTTGTTTCGGATTTTATCATCAGCTCAAAAAAACAACAACAACAGGTATGTTTCTTAGAAACACTGAGGTCCAATCGATCAATTGTGATGAGATGAAAGGTATCGATTGTATCGGTTATTCATCATCTCACATTTAATAATATATATAGAGAACAGTAAAACAGTAAAAACCTGTCAGTGGCTACAATAATCTGTGTTGCTATAGCTTGGTTTATAGACTGCTCTCAATTCTGAGTCTAGAGAATCCAATGAACTTTAAACACGACGTGGATGGCTTGTTCATCGGACAAGTCTAAAGCGCCAGTGTATGGAATCTCTGGCGTTTAATCGCCTCATTTATTTTGTCATATCCATTTTGTTTTACCTGTGATTGTCATCCACACAGGATCAACAGAATGGTATCACACGAAGATCTCAGTTTGATTAACAGCGACAATTTTGAAGCTGACGGTCTTACTGCTCACCAGTTATTTGGATCGGGTGATGGACTCACTTACAAGTAGGTGTTTTTCATTCAAAGCTCATGACATGGTATTCTGATTTTTCGTTTGTTTTACTTTTAAAGTGATTTCCTTGTTTTACCTGGCTACATTGATTTTTCCGCCGATCAAGTACGAATTACGACTCAGCTGACCAAGGGCATTCAACTTAATACTCCACTCGTTTCATCGCCAATGGACACAGTAACTGAGTCCGATATGGCTATTGCTATGGCTGTAAGTACATGACAATTTTTGTTTAATTTATCATATTGATTTACGCTTTGGGCTTTTGTTTTTTGTACGTGCAGCTCTGCGGTGGAATCGGTATCATTCACCATAATTGTACAGCCGAATTTCAGTCCCAAGAAGTGGTCAAAGTAAAGAAATATAAACACGGTTTTATTCGGGATCCAGTCTGTCTAACGCCAACGCATCTCGTACGTGATGTACTCAAGGTGAAAAACGAAAAAGGCTTCACCGGAATTCCGATTACAGATACTGGAAAATTGGGCGGCAAATTACTCGGTATCGTGACATCGCGTGATATTGATTTCAAGATGAAAGAAATCATGGACGAACCACTTGAAGGATTGATGACCAATTTTGCAGATTTGACCACTGCATATGATGGTATCTCTCTGGAAGACGCTGTCAAAGTAATGGAAAAGACCAAGAAGGGTAAACTACCAATCATCGACAAAGAAGGTCACCTCATTTCGCTCATTTCACGTACGGACATTAAGAAGCAACGGGATTATCCGTTAGCTTCGAAAGATGCCAACGATCAGCTGTTGGTAGGAGCTGCAATCGGAACACGTGATCACGACAAAGAACGTTTAGCTCGACTTGCTGAAGCCGGTGTCGATGTTGTCGTTCTTGATTCGTCCCAAGGAAATTCCATTTATCAGATTAACATGATCCAATTTATTAAAAAGACCTATCCACAGATTCAAGTCATCGCTGGTAACGGTAATTAATGTCACATTCTTGCTTTTCATTGTTCATCAATAACCCTGTGTCTTTTTTCATGTTTAGTGGTCTCACAAAAACAAGCTCAAAATCTGATCAAAGCTGGTGCCGATGCTCTTCGTGTTGGTATGGGTTCCGGTTCTATCTGTATCACACAAGAAGTGATGGCCTGTGGCCGGCCACAAGCTACTGCCGTATACAAAGTTTCCAACTATGCACGAAAATTTAACGTACCTACCATTGCCGACGGTGGAATTACCTCTGTTGGCCATATACTTAAAGCGTTGGCGTTGGGCGCCAGCGGTTGTATGATGGGATCGATGTTGGCCGGAACAACCGAAGCTCCCGGTGAATATTATTACTCAAATGGCGTTCGAGTCAAAAAGTATCGAGGAATGGGTTCAATTGACGCCATGGAAAGCAAAGATGGTGAAGGTTCCCGTCAACGATACTTTCAAAGGTAAGCTTTTTTTTTCACATCAATTTAACTTACATATGCCAATCAATTCAGTGACAATGAAAATGTTCGAGTCGCTCAAGGTGTTTCTGGTGCAATAGTGGATAAAGGGTCGATCCACCGTTTTGTACCCTATCTCGTAAATGGAATCCGTTATGGCTGTCAAGATATGGGTGTTCGAAGCCTGGAACAATTAAAGTGAGTTAATGTTAACAATTTTAATACCTTGCCTTCAATAATAACAATTAATTTACAATCCACACTTTACAGAGAACAGATGTACACTGGTGTACTTAAATTTGAAAAACGTACAGCATCCGCTCAGATCGAAGGTGGCGTGCATGGATTATACTCATTTGAAAAGAAACTTTTCTAATTTTTCTCATAATCTATACTACCGCACATATTATTATGTATGGATTGTTGTTGTTTGCATTTTCAATAATAAAAACTCACTTGATGATTTATTAGTACAAAAAATAAAAATAAATACTCGATATATCTGTTTTATATGTAAAGTTAAATTCACAACACACTTCTGGATGGTGGTGGTTTAATTTATTTACCGAAAATTAATAATTGAAATTGATTTACTATCTAAAAAATTATCGTTAAATTCATTCTATTCATACGCCATCTATAGGACGTTCATGAAAATGATGTAGCTTTTGTTTACGTTTGCTGACGACGACAACGTAATCAATAATACCAAAGCAATGAGCAAAAAATGATGTGATGATTACTGTACGATGCGATCACAATACATTGGATCATTTCTTTCCAATTTTCGTTACTGTTGTATAATCGTGTAATATCAACTATAATGGATGTCAACTATAATCTACGATCGCCAGGTATGTTTCATGGTTGTTTCATTTCATCAATTCACACAACGAATGTATTTTCATTCAAACTTATTCAATGACAGCGGTCAAACGGATTCTGCTAGAGGCGAAAGAAATGAAACATCCAACCCATGAGTATTATGCCAGACCACTTGAGGTATTTTTTATTTTTTGTATCAAGGTTTAACACAAATTTTTGCTAATCTGACATTATTCATTATTGTGGCAGGATAATATATTCGAATGGCATTTTACTGTTCGTGGTGCATCTGATTCTGATTTCTCTGGCGGTCTTTATCATGGACGAATCATACTGCCCAACGAATATCCAATGAAACCACCTTCGATCATAATGCTTACGCCTAATGGTCGTTTTGAATTGAACAAAAAAATCTGTCTAAGCATTTCAGGCCATCATCCTGAAACATGGATGCCAAGTTGGTCGATTCGTACTGTTCTATTGGCCATCATCTCATTTATGCCGACACCAGCTCTCGGTCATATCGGAGCTCTCGACTACAGTAGCGAAGAACGTCGTGCTTTGGCCATTAAATCTTGCCATTGGAAATGTGATCTATGTGGACCGATTCGCCATCATCTCAAGTCAATCACCACCAATCAGACGACCATTGAATCTGGAATTAATCAATCAGAATCATCATCGATCAGTTCTGGTTCGGTTATTGAGCCAACCATTGTTCATGCTCAACAACAAAATTACTCCAATTGGTCATCGTGGTCAACGTTGGTCGTACTTTATTATTCTGTAGTGATGCTCATCATTGGCCTATTGGTTCGCCGTTTGTTATCTCATATTTGAATTCCAAATTACATTCTTTTTCTGTGTTATTCGATTATAATTTTTTTTTAAATTTTAATTTGCAAACCATATATTGAATAAATGTTACCATATTTCACAACTTCAAAAAAATTGGATGAAATTATCGTGCCCCAGAAAAAAAATAGCTGAAATTCATAGTTCTTTTCTCTCTGCTAGGTAGATGGCAGCACTTCCATAAATTGAAAGCAAATTCAGTAAATTTTAAATTGATCGCCACTAGATGGCGATCGCAATTCCATTAATTTTTAATTTTATAAAAAAATTATTAATTGGATGGATCATTCCATTTAAATTGAACTAAACTTCTTGTGGATCAAATCACATCATCATCATCATCATCATCATATCATCGTAACAGATGTTACAAACATTATGTGTCTTGTTTGATGATGATGATGATGATGATGTATATAAAGGAATTGTAATGTTTTTTCATTTCGTGTGTGTGTGTGTGTGTGTGTGTTCATAATTGACAAACTTTTTGTTTTGATTCACTTGAAATTCATTTCATCGTTCAATTTCTAGAGCAATTCTTATTGCAAATCGATCAAATTTTTTGGTGTCTGAAACGATTTTGATTTTTTTTTTTTTTGACTGGCCATCATCATCCCAATCAGATAGGGCAGATGGTTTTTATTTCTTTTATTCAGTAGAATGAAGAGAAAGACAAAATTCATCGCTCAACACATACAGACAAATAACACGTGGTTTTAATTGTGTTAATTAATTTATTTTTTCTCTCTTCACACTACTTAATTTCAGATATATGAAATTCAGTAGAAAATGAATGAATTGATCAAAAAAAAAAAAAAAGAAAAGAAATGAAAAAACGCAAGAGGCAAAAAAAGAAAAAACATGTCAAAGTTCGTACAGCACGTACGCGAATGAAATTTGAAAAACTTTTTATTTTTTTAAACGAAAAAAAAAATTGTTTTGATTTGCTGCTGTTGCTGCTGCTGCTGCTACTGATGGACAATGCAGAAATGAGAAAAAAAAATCCGATCAATAAAGCGTGTGTAACACGAGTATGGAATTTTTTTTTCCAAATCCAACAACAAATCTTAGTGTGTGTGTGTGTGTGTGTGACCATCACCACCACAACCAACATAGAAATGTCACGTCGTATGGTCAGAATTTCGCTCTATTTCGTTATCTTTTCATTGTTGTTCACAAAATCAACAAATCAAAAAAGAAAAAGAAAAAATAAAAGAAAAACATACATGATTGGTTCGTGACGACCAATGTATGTATGTATAACAATGTTGAGCACGTACAATCAGTTTTTTTTATTCTGCAAAAAAAATTCTTTAAAATTTTTTTATTTTGGATTTATAACTTGAAGCGAATTTTTTTTCGTGAAAAAAAGGAAAAAAAACGACAAACACAATTGTGTTTGTGGGGAAATAAAACACAACCGATGAAAAATCCAATATTTGATGGCAAAAATATTTTTTTTTTCGGTTTGGTTAGGTTTGTTGACCACAATGGATGATGAAGCACACGTGATTCACTTTAAATTTTGTGTTTGCTTTAATCGAAAAAAAAATAAAAGAAAGAAAAATTGACCAGATTATGTTTGGATATTGAGAGGAGAAAAAAAAATCGATTTACACCAACACACATGTGCATGGCATTTAAAAATGTGTGAAAAAATGACCAGTTTTTCAACGAAAATCAAATTACTTTTAAAGGTGGAACCAAAATAAATCTTTTTCACCTTTTTTTTTGTTGCTTGCCATTCAAACCAAAAATTAATTGACCAAAACATGAAAGGTTTGTCTTATCATTGTAAAATGACCTTTTGTGTTTTGTTTTGTTTTGTATTTTGAAAAAAAAATCTGGTTTACATCACGAATTTTTCATTAAAAATCTCGAAAATTTCCTTTTTGATCATTTATAATGGTGAATAGTAAATGATAATTATTATCATCATCATCATCATCATCAATCGTAATCATATTACAAATGATTTGAAATGAAATGAAATGAAATAATTTTCCAACAAATAAATATGACTAGTAATTATGACACTTTTCTCTTTTGATATTCTATATCGATAATTGATTTTTCACACACACGCGACTGCTTGTGTGAATGAATTGTGATTTCAATCATCGTCGTGTTTTGTCGAAAATAACGAAATGAACGAAATTCGATAATTTAACAATTTTTGTTTTGTTTTGTTTTGTTTGAAACCAATCATTATCGCTGTTTGTGGATCGATTGATCGTGATTCTATATTTTTTGCGTAGTAGTTGTTGTTGTTGTTGTTGTGGACGTTGTCGTTTACAAAATTCTCTCATTGATTGTGAATAGATGTGGCTCGGTTTTTTTTCCAATTTATCAGTTATTTTTTGCATCTTTTACCGATCATCCGATTAGATAGATTTCATCATCATCATTTTTTTTTTGCTGCAAAACCAAACGAATGGGAAAATTTTAAATCGTTTTTTCTACTGAAAAAAAAATCTCTGATGATGATAATGAGTGTAAAAAAAACAACAACAACAACAAAAAAAGTTGAAATTTAAAATGACACCACCACCACCACCAAAATACATACATCGACCCAATTATTTGAAGAAAAAAAAACAAAAAAGAAAAATGCAATAATGATGCTGCTGCATCATTGTATCAACGAAAAAGAAGAAAAAAAAATTTCTTTTTTTTCTCACTGAAATCACAGCATCTAGGATTCGCAAATGATAATGATGATGAGCATCAATTAAAAAAGAGATTCCTTGATTACATATATACCGCACAACGCTCATTTGGCCATCATCATCATCATCATCATTGACGATATGAATCCAGAAGCTCTGTGTGTGTGTGTGTGTTTGTGTGATTGATATTGAAATGTCAATCAATTTTTTTTTGTTCGTTTGGTTTTCAATCTTTTGGAATCACGTCTAGCCAAATGCAGAGGATATATATCATTTATATTTATTATTAATGGATTCCATTGATTGATTAATTTGAATGATAAATAAAATTGCACTCGAACAACATCTTTGTGTTGAAATATATTTTTTTTTGTTGTTTTTTGAATTAGTTAAACGCAAAGGAAAAAAAAGAAAACATTGTCATTATCAATTTTCAGTAATTTAATCGATACGTACGAAGAAGATTCGATTGATTGAATATTTAAACGACAACATTAAATATTTTCATTGGAAAAAATTTAAAATTCTAGTAAAAAATCAAAAAAATTGTAACATTGTGTATACCCGTCGCCGCCACCACAATCAGTCAATCAATGATGCTGAGAAACATAGAAAAATTTTCTTTTTTTTTTTGGTTTTATATTTGTCATGAATTCATGCGAAACAACCGAAAGCAACTAGTTTGCTTTTTTTTCAAATATTCAATTTTCAATCAATTCATTCATTCATTCAATCAGTTTAATACTGATGTGGAGAGGTTTATCGTTTTTTTTTCTTTTCTATTTCTGGCTACATGCGAAAAATGATCCATACACACACATAAACATACACTCAGAGAGTGAGAGAGACCATTTTTATAATCGTATTTCGTGATGTTTCTTTTTTTTCTGGCTGAAAGATAAAGAAAGAAAAAACAAAGATGCAACAACACTCATACACACTCATACACACACACACACAACAATATGAGCTTGTGCTTTGGGTGTTTTTTTTGTTTTGTTTTGTTTCGTTTTCTTAATGTAGTGATTTTTTTTCCAAAAAAAAAAAGTTTTTGATTTTTTTTCTGGCTTTTAAATATGGTTTCCTGTTCGATCAATTCATGATGATGATGATGATGATCAAATCCACGGTATGATGTCCATTGGTCACGATTTTAATTTATCTTTTTTTTCGTTTTGTTTCTTTCTTTTTTTTTCTATCTCTCATTCCGATAAAACACCAATAGATCGAAAACAAAAAAAACGAAAAACGAAAAGAAAGCAAACTATGACGATATTCGAAAGATTTACAAAACACTGTAAAAACACAGCCATTTGGGAATGGAAAGTATCCAGCAAAAAAAAGATTTAAGGAAAAGAAAAAAAGATTCGTTTATTTGCTTGCCATGAAAAAAAACAATCCGTATAAAAAAACCGGAAACCATGGATTGCCATGGATTTTCGTTAAAAAAAAGAACCAAAAACATTTGCATCAAGGAAACAAATGAATGAATGAAAATCTGAAGAATCATTTCATTTCATTTTTATTTTATTTTGTTCACGCGTGTTAATGTTTTTCTTCGCTGCAGTTGCTGTTGTTTTGGACATTAGATTTTCTTCTTTTTTTATTGATGGATAACACACACTGAAAAGATTCAAAGTTGATCATCATCATGATGATGATGTCGAAACGAACAAAATTTCAAAAAAAATATTTTCTGGTTGAAAAAAAAACTGACCAAAACTTTAGTACGTGCGAGTGTGTTTGTTTTGGATTTTTTTTTCTGCAGAAAAAAATCGAATGATAAAAACAACAACAAAAAACCCAACTGTCATGTTTTGGAAAACGTTTCATATGTTGATTAATTTCACTTTACTATTTTCACATCATCATCTACCCCCCCCAAAAAAAATGACGACGATGATGATGATTTGATCAAGTCAAAGTAGTCAAGGTAGTCAAGAAATTCTTTTTTTTCTTCTTCTTCTTCTAGACATTTATTCATCATCATCATCATCATCATCAGCATCATAGTCATATGATGATGATGATGATTGGCTTAATCAATAAAAAAAACAACAACAAGAAAAAAAATGATGATTGAAACTGTCAGAAGAAAAAAAAATGAAATAAAGTGAAATGAAATATCGAATCAAATGTTTGATTTTTTTTTTTTTTTGCTCACTCACTTTCTATCAAAATTTTTTTTTTATCATCATCATTTTTGATGTTGTCAACAACAACAACAACAAGCAACAGGTAACTTAAATTTTTTTTTTCTGTTTTTGATCATCGATAGTTTTGATTGATATAATCGATATGTATTTTTTTTTTTGCCTCACTCACTCTCTCTCTGTGTGTGTGTGTGTACAAATGCCACTAGCATATTTTTTTTCGGTTGAAAATTTCTTAATCAAACATTAAACATTAAACAGCATTCAT